AAACGAGTGCCACAGTCTCTTATGTTCTTTTTTTATGAATATGTTCCAATTATATATAAAGATTGTAGACCAATAATAATAGCACATTATCCATAATGAATTATTAGATTTTCTGACTGAATCGAGAACACTAATATTTATTCCACCTTTATATCATAGACAGAAACTTGGCAGCTTCAACTGATTAGTTGAAAAAGGAATAACAAGTCATCTGAAATTCATATTCATTCTTGCACGAATATTCACAAAGTTCATTCAAAGCATTAACCTTAGAAACAAGGACTTTGCATGATCCAAATATCAAAGACCATATACCTGCTTTGTGCAGCCCGTTGTAGGAGAGAGGAAATCTCATCTGCGCTACAAACATCCTTTATGGTGAGGTCCGAAACATGTGTGTTTCCATTTGCATCATGTTTGATAGTGTACTGCTTGCTGGAAGCACTATTTTCCGTTCGTGTATGATCACTTGACCGATTTGATGATAACAAATCCCTAATGGTCTCATTATATATTTCCAGTATTGATGCCTGGAAATGTTTAATTAAGTTTTCAGTTTACATTAGTAGATGTGGCCATACGAAAATTGAAAAAAAGAAGGCAGTATACTAACCTGCATAGTGTACTTCCACCCTTGGTCTTTTAGAGACTGGCTAGTCTGGAATATCTGTTCTAAAGAACGGGGTATCAATCCTTTCAGATCTGGCGCGTCAGGCCTACCCATCATAGTATATGTTTTACCTGAACCCGTCTGCCCATATGCAAAGATGCACACCTGCCATAGCAAACCATGGCCTTCTGTGACGCAAATCAACACAAACAAAAGCAAGAAAAAATATGAAAGAAAAACATAATCCCCCCCCCAGCAAGCCATGTTTATCATATGGGTATATAATTCATTCCACTTCTGTTCTGCGTCTCAAGACTGAAACATGACTCCGAGTTGTCTTAAACCACACAACAACATTCAAGATATCAAGCATGATGAAGTCAAAAGTAGACAAACAAATCCACCTAGTTGTCTATTTGAACCAAATACTAGTCTAGAGTTCATAATAAATAACAAACTTACAGAATATGAACTTCAAACATTGATAGTTGAACTTCTAAAATAAGGCAATACTAAAATAAGGCTGCACTACTAACAATAATAATATTAATCTTAACCCACACGCACTTTGTACATTTCAATTAAAAACAAGTATCCAAATGCCAATATAATCATATAATTTTGGTTTTACAACCGATGCATCCAAGAAATTTGGTAGGATCACGCAAATTCAAGAATTATTATCAATATTATTTTAAAAAATGAAAATCCATGTCCCAAAAGCACTAGGGTACGTTATTAGTTTTTTTTTTTTTTCTTGTCCCAAACACCAGTCGCAAGTATTTGTGCTATATTTCAGGTTACAATATTATCTCGCTAACCATTTTGATAACTATTTCCTGTGTACTGTGCACTGTGATCTGCCAGACAAATACTGAACGGCAAGGAGGTAGGTAAAGTAGAAATTACCTTGTAGCCATCAAGCGCACTTTGTACCAGCTGTGATATCTCTACAAAAACGTCCTGCTGAGAAGCCTCGTGATTGAACACCTTGTCAAATGTGAAATTATACTTCTGCCCTGCAGGACCATTAAAAGGTTGGATTGTGATGCTTGACAAAACATGCATACTCAACGAAACACGCAAGTCATGAAATACAATAGCTGCAGAGTTACAAAGTTTGGGTATATACCGCTTTGCACCAATTCAATGCCCCGACCAAGGGCTTCTGTTGACGTAGGGAAAGAAACAACTGTGTCCGTTCCCGTACTGTCATCTGGTAGGAGGGGTCGCACACGGCAGAAAACACGAATATTTCCTTTTAGCTCCTGAAATAGAAATTAATAGGATACCATTGAACTCGTCGAGATTTACATTATAAAAACCAAAGAAAATACATAAGGAAAGCAAGCAGTACCAGAATAGTGTTGTGCAGTTTTTTCCTTAGCTTCTCTCCTTCAACTACTTGAAATTCTTTATCTGCCAAACGATCTTGTAGTTCACGTATAATTCTCTTCTGCTCTTCAAACACTGTTCTTGTTTCTGAAGCTGATAAATCAGCGTTCTAACAGAAAGAAAATAAAGTTGTGTCAGGTCCAGTTGTCAAAAACATTAAATCACTCTGCAACAGTAAGCAACTGCTCCATGCCAAGAATAAAACTAACTGCTACCTTTAACTTTTCTTTTTCAGCAAGCAACTGCTGCTGCAGTATATGTATTTGATTCTTTTGTGATGAACAAGTCTCCTATAACGAAACCCCAGAATAACATAAATCCACTGGGCTTTAGAAATGCACTATTAAGGAAATAAAAGAACAAAACATAAAAGGCGGAAAATAAAAACAAAACAACAAACCTCAAGAGCATTTGTTTTAGTCATCAACGTATCCAAGTGTGCACATGTTTTTTCAGTATATTCTTTGTATCTTGCTATTTCCCCAATTAAAGCATGTACTTGCCCTAATTGACGATCACGGTCATGTCTAATTTGTTTCAACTCATCAATCTTATTCTTCATCTCAGTCTCTGAGGAAAAAAGAGAAACGTATTGTGATAAAATAATTGTGCATTCCACATGAATTTTTAACTGACAACCAAAGGCAAAAAATTCTATCCGGACATTTAGGGAATATAGTGTCAATCAAGATAATTTAAAATAAAAATTACCAGGTCTTTCAAATAGAACAAGTTAAAACAAAATATATAAACCTCAACTAGCTATCTACATCACCAAATAATTACAATCACTAAATTATTATGTATTGAGGAAGAGCGTCACAATTTATGAGTAAACTCTACTTCACCTAAATGCTGCTAGCCACACAACAAACATTACAACTATAGATAACTCCTCCGCGACACAATAAATACAACACAAATAGAGGTTAGAAAGCTTCTAAAGATAGTTTAAGAAAATTTCAAAAATATATTACCATATCGACTCAACTTATTCTAAATAATATCCGAAGAGAGAAAACACACCAGTATCATTGCACCTCTTCTCAGAAGCCTCTAGCTCAGACTGAAGCTTTTCTTTTTCTTCAGCGTACCCTTCTTCAATCCTTTTATACCAGCGAACGCAGTGCTTAAGGCGCTTGATAAGATCCGTCATCTGCTCCATCTTTTTCTGCTAATCAAACCGCAAAACTATAAAGACCAAAAAGGAAAAAAAAATGACTAGTTGTTAAATCAAGAACATATCAAAACAAACCTTACTATCATAGGTATTCCCCTTCTTCTTCTCGTTCAGCAAAGCCTCCACCTCCTCTTTCGTGAAATCGACTGTCTCGGTGACATCACTAGCTGTGTTAAGGTCCGAGCGATTGGTGACAACGGAAAACGGTGTTCTAACCCTCCCAGCAGAGGCACCGCCCTGTCGCTCCATCTTCTCAGCACCGATGACCCTGCGATGCTTGTCCAGTGACGCTTCTTCGGGGCCCATCTTTTTCTGAAAGCGAAAACGAAGTGGTTTAGAGGTAAAAGCTGCTTTATTTGAATTGTGAGAAAAGAAAATAAAGAATGGAGTAAGAGGAGCAAAGGCTTACTTACATTAGAGTGGTTGCGGAAAGCCATGTGAGGTTGGGAAATGGAGGTTTTGAGGAGAGAAATTGGCAGGTTAGGGTTGGGAGAGAGAGAGAGAGAGAGAGAGAGAGAGAGAGAGAGAGAGAGAGATGCGTGAATTTTGAATTCGGATCTGGCGGGCAAGGTACTCTCTTCCGTCTTCTTCTGGTTATGGAAGAAAGTTCAGTTCCTCTCTTGTTTTTTCAAATTATAAATTTTGAAATCAACGGTCACATTGTTTCAATGTAATCATTAAATAAAATAAATAATTCTTATTATCCTTATAAATATATGTGATTTATATTATAATATTGTAGTTTTATTTATAATAATATATGAATAAGGATAAATCATATTAGAGCATAAAAATATGTTATTGTAACACTAAAATGTAAAAGAAATACACGCAGCATAATAATATGTCAAAAATGTTAAAATAGTAAACTTTTTAATTTATCAATTTTATGATTTTTAAAATTTTACATACTTCAAATTAGTCTTTATTACTGTTAAAACCTTTCATATTTCGTAAAAAAGAATTATGAATTTTACAAAACTTGTAGAAAAATTTACGAAAAAATTATTTCAAAAATTCATACTAAATATAAAAAGTTATAATAATGTAATTATTTTTCTACCTTTTATATTACCGCGTTTGTCAATGAATTATTCTATCAAAAACACATCAGTGTCAATGTATATGCCATGTTGTCATAATTTATTATATTAAAATTAATAAAAATATCATTTTTTTCTCTTTTGTTATTAATTTTATTTTATTTCTCTTTAACTAAATATATGTAGTTTTTATTTTATTCCTTACATATTTTTATTCATCGTTTTTTAATTTCACATATCTTAGTACCTTAATTTAAAATCTCTACGTAGCTCACTTTTTCTTTAAAAATAAAATTTTATATAAGCACATAAGTGATGAGTTTTTATATGTATTGTTTCAAGTTTTAATATTTTTAAAAAATCAAAATATAGATGTATATATTATTAGTTTATTTTATAAATTGAATTTTTCTAACACTAAAAGAAAAAAAAAGAATAATATTCGATTAAAATCTAAGTTATTAGGAATATATTTTAAGTCTTTATAAAATGATTTATTTTATAAAATAATAATTTTCTTTTTCTATCTAAAACAACAAGCAAAAGAATCATTATTTCCTGTTCGTCATTAATGAGATGCTAGCAAACATTGAATCGAAATTAGTTTAAATACTTTTTCAATCTAGAGTTCTACAAAAACACATTAAACTCTTAGTTAAACAAATACACTCATTTGCCACCAAACCCAAAGGCAAATTAAATAGTGGTACATTTCTTATCTAATAAATTGGTCTTAGAATTAATGATTGAATGATGGTAACAAAGTGAATGGCTACAATGGGGTTTCCTGCCTCTTTTCCTCCCTTCTAGTAGCTGTTACAGAGACATAATAGACAATGGTGAACAAGCCATGTATGAAACACAAAATCCCTCCAATGGATAGAAAACGACGGTTTGATATTCCACACGATTCTCTTGATCTTGAGTTGGCTAAGGACCCTAATATCAGCAAGGAGAAAGCAATCGCTAGTAATATCCTGCAATGAACATCAATTCAGTCACTAAAACATCATTTTGTTTCTATTTCTGCCATGAAAAGGCCAAATTGGTAGAACCAATGAGTATCAACATGGATCAAAGAAGCAACTTGTGGTACCATATTGAAGCACCAATATAAACAGAAATAACACATGTTGAAAAAGACATATACCATGATAAGATGAGAAAAGCCACTGCTAATTGTCTATTGGCAGTGGCTCTAAGGCACTCGTCTTTGGACCGCATCCAAATGCACCCACCAAGCAAGTGAGCAATTGCATGAGCAAAGACCAAGAAAATGGAAGCAGCAACTCCTAGCTTGAAAGCTTCATAGCTAGGGTCCCTGCACTCCATTGCCCACATCTTCAAGTCCTTAACCTGTTCCATCCCAGATCATGAAAAGAAGTTTCATTTCAAAAATTCTCAGCAACATTGAGATTTGAGAGACATATACACGTTTTTCAGTCACAAAGGGAGTACCTTGTTCTGAGCTATTTCTGCTTGAATTCCAAGTATGCCAGCAACAATGTCCAAGACCAAGACAAGAATGCAGACAATGAAGCCATAGTTTTTGGCCATTTTCACAAAATTCGGAGGCAATGCAGTATGGCTAAGATGTTAACTACATAACTTGTTCATAACTCCTTACTTTAATAGTGGAGCACTGTGATATTTAATAGAGGAATACGAATAAAGTTTGAGCAAGGTTTGGTGCATATTATCATACATGAATGCAATTAGCTGTGATCTATGTCTGAAAGCTGCTTTCCTCTTCACAGTTTACTTTATTCCTCGTTTCTCTCTCCCTTTCCAATATTCCTTCCATGAGGGTCACGGAAACCAGAGTTTCAGCACCAAGGGAAGGTCACATCCATGGCCAGAAAGTCAAGGCCTAAAACGTACTTATATATATAAATAATAACAACTTTTGCATTTTACTGAAAATTTTTATGAAAATAAATTATTCAAATAAAAAATATTCATAATATGTTTGGATAAATAATTATATGATTTTAAAAAATTAAAATATATTAAATTTGAATTACTTTTAATTCAAATTATTTCATTTATCAAGAGTTTTAAGAGTTTAAGAAAATTATAATTATTAAATTTAAATTTTTTATTTTGTACTAAATAAAACATTCAAGTTTTAATTTCATTTTTTAGATAAAATATTGAATTACTAATTACTACAATTTTTTTTAACATTTAATAATTTGAAAAATAAAATATGAGTTGATATTTCTCATAATCCAAACTAGATGGTTTGATAAATAACATTCATCTATGTCAACCAAAAAATATCTTCGATTAGATTTGACTTAAATTTTTAGAATTTTATTTTCTTTTAATTTTTTATCCTGACACAAGATTACTATAATATTAATGTTTGTATAAATTTTCTAAGATTAGAATAGCTAATAGATGTTAATTTTCCTTCAAAAGTCGTTGATACATATTTTACTTAACTTGGAACATTTAGAAATCCACGAGCCAATGGGCGTTGAATAGACGGGTTGTAGAATAGCCCATTTACAAAAATGGTTGAGGTTAACGCTGAAGCTGTTCATAATGCAATAGTTATAATAATTATGTCAAAATTTTAGTTATAATTTCTAAAATATTAACTAAAATTTAATTTTTAACATATGAATAAAAATAAATAATTTGCGTCTTTTTTTTAAATCCAGTTCTTTTACTTTATTTTTTTCCTATTTTAAGTTTAAACTGAATTTTATATTTAAATTTTTAAAAATAATATTATATATATAAGGGATGATTGTTTAACATCTAAATGAAATTATGTGTTTCAAAATAGGTCTATTATATTTTGTAAAAAATTTAGGACGATCATCAATTGCAGTTTTTTTTTACCAAAATAAATGTAATAAAAATATATTTTTCATGTAATTTTAGTCCAAAAACTGAAATTAAATTATTATTCTAAGTTAATTTAATTTAACTTTTATTATGATTATCTATGCTACTCAAATTACATTATATTGATTTTACTTTATTTAATAGTAAATTATAATGTATTTAATTATTTTTTAATAATTTATTTTAGACAATAATTTTTTTCATTTAAAACTAACAATATTTATAAATAAAATAATTTTTTATTTATTGTTTAATTGATTCCAATTTATATAACTTATATGATATTAATAATAGTTTTTAACCATTAATAAATAGAACTTTTTATCAATGATATTTTTCCAAATTAATATTGTTAAAATTTAATAAAAAAAACATTTTCTCATTAATTATTGTAATAATATGAAATCAATTTTTACTATTTAACATTTATTACTGAATTCATTCGTAAAATAAATTATATAAATTAAATAATTAATTTAATTCATGACTTCTTTATTTATATTTACATAATGATTATTATTATTATTATTATTATATTTAACAATTGATAAGATGTTGCTGTGTTTTAACATTTGTGATAATTTTATTGCTCTAATATGTTTAATATATACTTCTGTTAATTTGTTTCTTGAACTTTTCATTTTCATTTTTTATTTTTTATAAAATTTTATTTAGTTGAATAATTCATTACTTTTTCTTTTTTCTTTCTTAAAATATCTTTAAGTAAGGAGACAGAAACAACAACATATTTAACCCAAATTATTATTACCAAAAGCAAATACATAAACACGTGTAGCAGCATCCTCACATAACACTAAATATGTTTTCAGCGTTTTCTAGAACCACCTGCATCCTTCGGAACTTTTCCTATCTCCAGCACCACCGTGTTTGGGAGAAGGGAAGGAAAATCCAAAGCAAAGAAACAAGCTGAACTGTAATCTCTCTCGTACCTTCCTAACAATGGCAGCGTCTCTATGGAAGAGCTATGAGTTTAACGAGGATCGTCCCGTGAAGCCTCGCCGTTTCGGCGTCACCGAAATTCCAATCCCCAGTTTCACTCCCTTCTCTCACGACCTTCTTCAGGTAATACCATCACTCTCTTTTCTCTAATGCTTGGGTGGGTCATACACAAACTTCTATGTCCTCCCTTTGTCACTACACTTTTTTATTTTAATTAAAGAGAAAGAGATGGTAACTGATTTTTATTTGTCATTCTCTCACTCTATTTATATAAATGCTGGTTGATTATCAACAGTTTTTTTTTTCCACCTACAAAATCACTAATATGAGATTTTAGTTATTAAATTTAAAGACAATTCTGTTAACAACATTAATAACTAATTAAGTAGAGATCAACCTGCAATGTAATTATATTTGCTCCGAGTTTCTGCTGGAAGTTCTACCTTCTTGCCTCAAATATTGGGTGCTGATTATATTGGACGACAACTATTGGACAATTTACCTGTTGCTAATTGATTTTGAAATGAAACATGACGGAGTGTCAGAGTCTATAGCCTGTCTTGGTCACATAGCATGCTTTAAGTCTAGACAATAATTTCTGGTGGATCATGGCTGTAATTATTTTTGCTGTTTTGAAATGTTAATTACAGGATATTTTCGAATCTAGGGGGGATTATGTTGATGGGTTGAAGTTTTCTGGAGGTTCTTACAGCTTGATGCCAAAGGCTACTATCAAGCAAGTGATTGACCTAGCCCATCAGCATGGCGTTTATGTTAGTACGGGTGATTGGGCCGAGCACATGATTCCCAAAACTCCATCGGGTTTCAAAGAATACGTGGAGGTCTCTGCCCAGCTTATTCAATCATCAATATTGTTATTACTATTATTATATTGTGATGAGTTTTGATTTGCGATTGTTGGAGTTTGGTTATATGGTTTGTTGTGTTGTTATAGGAATGCAAGCATTTGGGGTTTGACACAATCGAGCTCAATGCTGGCTCACTTGGGATTCCTGAAGAAACCTTTCTGATATTTGTCCGCTTGGTCAAAAGTTCTGGTCTGAAAGCTAGGCCTCATTTTCAAGTGAAGTTTAATGAGTCAGATATTCCCAAAGGTGGTGATAGGGCCTTTGGAGCTTATATTCCCCCAGAACCTAGATCATCTGGTAAGGATATTTAACTCTGCATATTGTGCACGTGCCTGTCTATCTCTCCTTTAAGGTGGAATTGAACGCAATTGAACAAGGCGTTCTTACGGATACTATATTCAGGAATCTGAATTAAGTAAAATGTATGTATAACAATTGACGTGATAATATCTTAAGTTAATGGTATGACTTTTAAGATAGTTGTTATTGAAGTAATTAACAAGTCCTCATATAATGATTTGTGATTGGATGAGAGTGTTATATTGTTTTACATCATTATTGCAAAACCTATTTCTAATACTGTTTGCTGCTATAATTTTGGTGAATGGAGTAAGAGGATTCATTCTGGTGTAGACAAGGATGATATGATATGTAATTGTTTAAGAATGTACAATAGATGGATAGATTGTTCCCTTTTTAAGGGAAATACAATGCATATAACTTCGATCAAGTAAAAATTATGAGTTGAGGCTTGGTTCCCAATCAAATGCCATGCAATCTCAACTGAAATCAAGATCATGGGAACAAATATATTTTGAACTTGTTCCCAAATTCCATCCATTTAACATCAAATATATTGTGCGCCTTATTAAATTTTCTTATCTTATAGAAAGAATGAAAATTAATATGTTAAATTTACTTTGTTATAGAATGTTTCATTCTCAGCATGCGACTAGTTATTTACATAATTTGCATGACACTATGTATCATGTAAAAATAAAATTTATATGAGGTATCTTTATTTGAAGACATAAATTGATATGAACCTCATTTACAAAAGGTTGACTTAGAATCTTTAGGGTTAAAACCTTGTAGGAAATTTATGAAATTAGTGAGAAGGTGGATTAGAAAGTGGTGAAAATTTTAGGGTTGGGCAGAATTGAGTTTTTTGGGTTCTGGTGAAGAAAGAACAAGAGGTAAATGTGAAAGGTCGAAGGAAAGAATCACTTTTTTCAAGGAAAGCAACTTACAAAGAATGTGAAAGTCATTTGATACAATTAAGGGTTCTTGAATCATTCAAGAACTTAAGATAAAAAAGTTAAACTCTAATATTTCTGAATAAAACTCAACTTGTATTTTTGATAAAAATGGTTCAGCTTATATACAAGTTTTGTCATCAAAGTTACAAAGATTCAATAAATGCTAATAATGATCTATTAACCTAGGAATTGAAAACTACTTAATATCTGATTGTAACTAAAATTATGGTGACCAAAAGTCATCCAAAAGCAATCATTATGCATCCTCTTGGTCTTCTAAAGGTTGATGCTTGAGTTTTTATTAAAGCTCATTAATTGATTAATCCAAAATATAATTTTGTCAGTCAATCTTACAAAAAATTGGAATTATTTAAACAAACTTAAAGAATGAAATAAAGTGACGCATTAGTCCTTCTCCATTTGAATCATGATGCAATTCACAACTTTGGTTTTTTCTCATTGAAATGTGGGTTTGAATTCAAATAATATGGACAACACTTGTTGAAGAGTTTTTTTTGTTTTAGTCCTTATCATATGTCCTCTAAATCCTATAAGGGAATTTTTGCCCTTGGTCATGGTCATGTCCTCATAATTAATATTGGACATATAAAATTGTTTTAAAGGCTACTACTTTCAGTTTTTAATGGGACTATGAAATCCTCAGTCACTACTGAAGGTTGATTAGCAATGAAAAATGTAGAATCAATCCAATATTATTCGTTCAACCTTGGTTTAATTTTTTTGCTCAGAATTTGTAGAAGATGTGGATCTCTTGATCAGAAGGGCCGAGAGATGTCTAAAGGAAGATGCAGACATGATAATGATTGATGCTGATGGTGTCAGCAAACATGCTCATAACATGCGTGGGGATATTGTTGCCAAGATCATAGGGCGACTTGGTCTTGAGAAGACTATGTTTGAAGCATCAAATCAGAGAATCTCTGAGTGGTTCATCAAACAATATAGTCCAAAGGTAACTGTTCTTCACCCAAATAATTTGGTTTCATTTAGTCAGTTTCCCTTTTTACTAAAGGAGAATAAGAAACCTTTTTTACTAATTTTGACATTATTTTTCTGCTTTGTTCAGGTGAACCTGTTCATTGATCATTCGCATGTGCTGGATGTGGAATGCATCAGGGGACGTAACTCGGGTAGCAATCATGCTTTTGTCTTTGGCCCTTCATCTTTTTCTGTTCTAAAGTGATGGGAATTCGTATAGCATATTTGCATCCACTGGGACTGGGACTGATTTGTTTGTGGTACTATATTACAAGTCTTGAGTTGTGTGTTTCCTTATCTGAGTCATAATAAGAATATGGCATGGTAATAAAAGTTATAAATATAAAGTAATATGAAATATAGTAGACACTTAGATATAGATAATTATTAAAATAAGATGAAAATATAATAAAATAATTATTAGTTGAAGTTAATATAATTAATATAAATATATATATATATATATATATATATATATATTATATTTTTTATAAAATAATTATATTAAAAAAATTATTAAAATAGGTTCGATGTAAGAATTAGTTTATTTGTTTTGTATTGATTTTTTTATTTAATTAAAATTTAATTATTTAGAAGTTCCATTTTAAATTGGTTTTAATTTAGATTGAAAACAGTAATTAATACATCTTAGTAAAGATTGGTAGAGTTCATATGGGAGGTCAAAATATAACATGTCTTCCATGAAATTGGTTCCCTTATTAAATCTGTTCTGGATTGTTATTCATTGAAAAAACACCTAATATTAAGAAATAATAAATATCAATTAAATATGAATGCAAAAATGAACATATTAAAATAATTTTAAATTTTGGTTTTTAAATTATAATTTTGTTAGTCTATCTTGACGGTTTAAGGCTTTACTCCATTTTTAGACCTATATAGAGTCATAATATATTTAATAGTTTTTAAAATTATAAAAAAAGTATTCAAAAATTATAAGAATTTTATTTTTATCCTTGAAATTAATAAATATTAATTTTTTTATATTTTAAGAATTAATTAATGTATTATCCTCAGTAAAATGATTTTGGTTTTATTTGTTTTTTTAGCGGAATAAATTTTAAGAAGGACAAAGATGTGTTAATATTATTTAGGTGTTTTTCTATTAGATTTATACATTAATTATAGGTTCGATTGATGTCTTGATTTAATCAGCAGAAGAGTTTATTTTGTGTTGGGCAATGAAATTTAGCCCAAAACATAGGCATGGAAATGGGTTGATATGAAAATACTTATTAGGTGCTTTTTTTTAATTATTATTTAGGCAAAAATTAAATTTGTGTTCGAAAGATAATTGTTTATATATTGTATATGAATGAAGAGTCGTAGTTTCTTAAATGTTTGATTTTCTTCATAGTCGCTGTTTTTATTTTGGTCAGGATTAGAAACTAAATTATCAGGAAATTAAATTTTCATCATTGATTAGATGTTGGAATTTTTTTCTTCCCATCCATTGTTTTATATTATTTTTAAAAGAATAAATATTTTTATAATAAATTAATTTTAATATTTTTTAATATACATAAATAAATATTCATAGTTTTATACTTTTTTCAATTATTATTATTAATTAAATATATTTATAATTTATTATATTCATATTAAAATATATATGTAACAAAATATTTTATTTTTTATGTATTTATATGAATATAAATTTTTATAATATTGTTATTATTATATATTATAATATTATATTTAGATATTAATTATTTTTTGAAGTTATCATGTTAAAATATTAATATATGTTAAATATATAGTTTATTAAAAAAATTAAATTAATTCTTATTTAATCAGTGTAAATAATAAAAATTTTAATTATTAATTAATCTTTCAAAACAATTATTTAATTAAAATAAAACTTGATATATGATGAATACGAATAATAAAATTTATCAAGTATGATCTAATAAAATTTAATAAAGATAAATTAGAAATAAAATAATATTAAGGTAAGTGCAAATTATTCATGATAAGAAAGAAAAAATAATTTTGTTTTTGTCAAATTAATTAAAAATATTGAAAAATCTAAAATAATTGAAAAGATTAGAAGATGTGAAGAAGGGAAAGATACCTAAAAAAATTAATGTATTGAATTAATTGGTTGAAGAAATTAGAAAAATAAAATAATGACGAGTAAGAAAAAAGTGAAAATTTTGAAATATAGAAGAAATAATTTTATATATAATATTAAAAAGAATAAAACATTTTTTAAATATTAATAGTTTAATATTTAAATTTAAATATAAAATTGTTATGAGACGAGATTAAAGCGAAGATTGGATTATTTATGTCATTCTCATGTCATGTAAACAAAAATCATACTTGTCAAATTAATTTTTTCTACCAAATTTAAAATATATTGATTCCATTATGTGAGTTTAATTGTTGTCTATATTGTATCATTACCTCAAATCTATTCTTAAATATATAAACAAAAACCCTTGTAAAAATTTCATTGCTCATAATTATAGTTTAACAAATATTATTAGGGCATAATGGTAACTAAGATTCCAAATATAATGATAAATTGTAGTCTCATAGAATAGATATTTTTCTTAACTTATAATAATTTTAAAAAAATGTTAAAATACAATGTATGAATATAATATGTTTTTCCGGATATGATTTTTTCTCTTATTGCAAAAAATGTAGAACACGAAAAATGTACACCAACATCATTTAGTAAATTTAAAAAATGAAAATTATGTAGTGATTCTTTAATTTTGATATAATAAATTTAATATAAAACTCATTTAGCAAAAAATTGTATTGAAGAATCAAGAATGTATATTATTATATTGATAGACGTTCTCTGTTTCTTTAATAAGTTACAAAGTTTTAGTACTATGAGAATTTTTGGGTTTAATTTTGTGCACTAGTTCAATAAATTATTACTAGAAACGTTGATAACGGTAATTAAATATTATTAATCAATAACATTCTTTAATTTATTGTCCATGCGTTAGCATAAATGCTTTACTTAATTATACAGAAGTTTATATTATATGGTAGATTGCTTCTCGTCTTAAAAAAAATCAAGCTGAAATTTTTTTTATAAATTAATGTATAATTTAATTTTTGATACAATTATTTAATTTATGTATAAATTCATTTATTTATGAAAAACAGTATTTTTTATTTTTTTTAGTATATTTCATCTATATCTAACATGGTTGGAGTGGACCACGAAATTCTTTTGAAACAATTTCAAATCTTTTGTATTAAATTTTTATTTTTAGGCTACAAATTTCTTTAACACAATTTATTTAATGATATTTATTAACAATTTAAATTAAAATATACAATGAGTATTAAAATGTAAAAATAGATAAAATTACCAGTTATTGATTGGTTTAAAAATTAGAATTTTCCTAATTTCATTTTATTGATCATTTAACCTACAAGACCGTTAAACACGTTATTGGTTTAAGATGGTTCCTCTCACTTTTTTTTTTAACCTTAACGCTCTTCTTCACGAGACACGCGCTTTGTCACATTCCTCTTCCTCTTCACCCCAATAACCTTCTCATCCATCAGTTTTTGGCTTTCTTCCGCGGATTTTCCGTTTCCTGTGTCTTATTATTAACCCCCCCTATCTTGGTACAAATGCATTGACAAAGGGGGAAAGTCTTTTTCCCCTACGGGTATTGGAGCAATTGATATCACCCAAACCAAGTGTTTTGGTTCAGGTGCTCTTTTGTACCAGGTTCGCTTAATTTTCAGTACGTCTTCACCATTTTAATTTTCTGAGCAAGTTGTGTGCATTTTGCATAATTGGTAATTATCTTATTGTGATTGGGAACATGGGTTTCAGAAGATTGGACCAACGGGGTTAATGTCGTTAGGAATTGTCGGCAGGATAGTGGGTGAGGTTTGTGTTAAATCTGGTATGCCGATTGCTGAGGAATGAAATGAGGCGTTGTATTTCAAGCCTTTTGATTTTTCTTGTGCTGTGCATCTTGATTCAGTTGAATGTTAATTTACTTTTCTCACATGTTATTGCAATTGTGTCTGTTGGACTAAGTTTGGAATTAAAAAAAGTTATGAAATAGAAGGAAAATAATGGTGGGATTTATTGTGGATGCAAGCAACCTGATACTGTTCTCTTCTACAGTGCATGTATCTAGCCTTATTTTAATGAATTGAGGAGTACCAAAAATACAAAAGTCCATGGCTTGTGAATATGCCATTCTAGCAATATTTTGAACATTATTCTCATATCTCTTCTTTTGGCATTGCCAAGCTGTATGATATGATAGTTTATGCCTTCCCCATAAGAGTTTTTCTTGGTTTTGCTTGGGATTTTATTGGACTACTTTCACCATTTTGTTTTGTTCTGTCGTGGGAGTACTGCAATTTAGTTGGTGTTTTACATTTATTCAATGTGTGGGATTTTTCTATTTCCATATAGGTTTTGCCAGAGCAGCAGGCATGTAACTAGTAGAAATTAGTTTCAGCATACACTCCTGCATTGAGGTGACAGACGTTTATCTTTATTAGTTAAGTTTTATTTGAGGCTTGAATACAAATTCAGGGCAGAAACTCTGACTCTTAGGTTATGTAAATTTTCCTTGCATTTTTTATGTGATGAAATGAGTCTGAACTCGTGGCTTTATTTACTGCTGTGAAGTTTTCATCTTGATTATGCGCTAGCATTTAGTTATTCCTTATCGAATTCAAGCAGTGAGATGAGAGAATTAGGGAAAATGTTGTTCACTCTGTTCTGAATTTCTTCCGCGGTTCTGTGTGAAATGTGAATCTGATTTTTATGTAGATATATAGGGAGTATATAATGGAACTAATCTCAATCACACATCTCCATGGATGGTTATCTGGTAGTAGTTCCTTTTGTGCTTTCACTTGATGCCTCTCTTATATATTTATATTGATTGCCAAGTATCTGCTATCCCCCACCCCCAAAAGAAAAATATAAACCTTTCAATTTTCAATGAAGTCAAATATATTTAATCTAACTGCCATCGTGTGAACCATCAAACTTCGCTAAAAGGGTTCTCATGATTAATAATATTCCCATTGAGTCCAATAATGTTGCATAATCCATTTTGGTAACGAAATTCATCTAATGGGATAAGACTACTATTGTTGTTGTTATAGTGCATTGAATTCTCACTCCTGATGATTTTTTACATGTTGTACAGATTCAGGCTGTTTAGTCGTAATTAAGTCATTGTAGAAGCCATGGTTCTTGACTCCCTTTTGTCTACTCCTGTTCTGAGGTCACCATCTCTCAGGAGGCAGTATGCGAAGCATGAACTGGGAAGCTGGTCAACACTGGTGAGGAGGCACCGATTCCTCTTAGCTGCTATTGCTTTACTAACTGTCCTCTGTACCATTTATCTATATTTTGCAATTACATTAGGGGCCAATGACTCCTGCTACGGGTTAAGTGGACCTCAGAAAGCTTCCTGCCATATGAAGCTTCTTAAGGCTTCTGCAGCCAATGGTAAACTCAGAAGTCTGAGACGTATATGATTTCAATATAAGTTACGGGGGACAGTTGTTGTCTTTTCCTTTAGGTGGCATGAAATCGAAATATAATTTTTCGGTTTAATGTTAGCATCATATGTATTATTTATTTTAGAATTTGTGAGCCAAATGTACACAAAGCAATTTCTTGATTGCTAATTCTAGGGGTTGCTTTCTTGTGGCTAATACAAGTTCGCTGAGTATCCTAGCAGCCCAAATGAAGTTTGAGTTTTTACAATGTTCATGGATGTTTTTGCTAATTCAAACCTTCAGATTTCTCTCTTTTTGTGGTAAAGATGATTCATTCAAATATGGACCTTTCCATGACAGATCATTCTCTTTGTTGCAGACAGGAAATTTGTATAACTTTTACAATGAATTGGGAGAATGATCCTGTTCTATGTATGTTTGATAATATGAAAACGACAATATTTCTATGGTTGAAATTATTATAAATATTAAAATTAACTTAAGAATGTGTTTCAGAAAAACAATTATTGTAAATGTAAAAAAAATATAATTATAATATAAGCTATGTTTGTTATGTTTACGTTGAAAACATTTAACTGTAATAATGGCTACGAAAAAAACCAACACTTTCAATAACATATAGTGTTAAAATGAAAGCTTTTAGAGCAATTAATGTGATATTTAGAGTCTTTTTGTTTGAGTTTTTTTCAACAAGGTTTTAAATTTTATATATATATATATATATATATATATATATATATATATATATATATATATATATATAAATTGGATATGCTTTGATAATGTAAAACAAAGATATTCTACCATTAAGGCATGATTGAACATTAGTCCGAAAAAACTCTTTTATAAAACATATCACCAGCTTAAAAAGCATATCACGATTAGTTATTTTGATATTTGTGAAATTTCTTAAAAAAATAATTTTTATTTTTATACAGTTTCATAACTTATATAGTATTCCGTTCTATCAAATATATCATTATGTATAAAAGGAAATAAATAATATAAGAAAAAAAATAAAAAATTTAATTATATAGAAAAGGTAAATAAACAAATATTCTTATATTGTCTAATAATTTATTGAGAATAATTTATTTTAATAGAGTATTTGAAATATACAATAAAATTTATTTGTTGGATAAAAAATTTAGAAATTAATTGAAATCTAGATGAGAATATTTTAATTATTTAAAATAAGATAATTTTAAATTTTATCTTATATTAATCTAATCTATATTGTTTATTCCACTCCAACCTAATTTATCCTAATCTAATTCAATCATTTCTTATTAAATTTGACTTAATTTATGAAACTTTAATTCATCTTAGTTTGAAGTGATTCATCTTGATATGATATATTTCTTATATTTAGATCCAATTTGACTTCACCATGATGTGATTTGTTCTTACTCCTACTCATCCCACTCTATCCAATATGATATAACTCATCATAACCTACCAACTTCGCCTTACTTGATCTAATCTTCCTAATCCAATATAACTTCTTTTAATTAAACATAATTTTATTAATTTAGCATATTTCAATCTCACTTGAGTCAGTATAATTTATTATGAAACGTATCGATTCAATCTTATTCATATGTATAAAAGAAGTCAACTTTTATTAATTAGACTTAATTTATAATATAATTATATTTGGTAATAATTGAAATATTCTATCTAACTAACAAAATAAAATTTCATTAAATTTTAATTATTTTATCTAAATAAATTATTTAAAAAATTAAACTATTTTAAATTAAAAAATCAAATTTAATATATTTAAATTACAAAATATTGTATTCAAATATGTCTATATTTTCATTAGTATATAATAATAATAATAATAATAATAATAATAATATTTTAATTGATATTTTCTAAAAAAAATTAACCTATATTGTTTACATTAAAATTAAGTAAATTTAGTTTCAAAATAATCAATGTACATTGTGATATTAGTTTATGCAAAGAAGAAGAAAAACTGAAATAATATCTTTCAATTTAGACACACAGGAATATCTTTGATATTGATTAAACAGTGTGGTGTTCTCCCGTATTCAGCTTCAAAAACAAAATCAGCGGTGAAGTTGCTAAAGTTTAATGCAATAAATATATATATATATATATATATATATATATATATATATATATATATATATATATATATATATTCAAAACATGTATTTATCATGACTAATATTTATAATACAATTTATATATTTTAAAAAAATTATTTATTATAAATTCAATTATATAATTAAATATTTATCAATGTTAAAACCTTCATATTATATATATATATATATATATATATATGTTAAAATTCATAAAAAAAATGTTTCTGAATGTATAAAATATATTTAGGTATATAATAAATAGTATTTTATTGATACAGAATTGTTTTAATTATTGATAAACTGTTTTAAAAACCTTTAATATTAAATTTATAAATATAGAATATAATTAGAAAGACAAGTCATTGAAAAATTAAGTATGAGAATAATAAAGATAAAAAATGTCATTTTGAGATTTTTATATTCATAAATAAAATAAAAAATAATAATAATAGTATTACATTTGAAAGCAACATAAGTTAAAAAATTAAGCTTTTGGTATACAAAATTAGGATAAGATATATTATTAATCAAGGAAAACAATGTTTAATAATGACTTTAAACATACTTTTATTCAAAGAAGAGTATTTATTCTGGTTAGGTAAACATGTTCCAATTGTATATACAAATTATTTATTTATTTATTTTTAAATATTTTCTTAATTATAATATGAAATTTAATTAAATTAATTTTGATGTTCTTAAACTATTTAATTTTATCTTTATTTAAAAATAAACAAAACTTCCATATTTCTTAGAATTTTTTTAATTATTAAAAATAATATTGTATCATAATATAAATAATTTATCATAATTTTAAAATATAGTTTATTATAAATTTTAAATATACTATAATTAATACATTTATATTTAAAGTTATAGAACCAGGGTTTTATTTTAAATAATGGTGGAAACATAGGTGCAAGGGGAGAGAGAGAGGAGAGGATCGCTTCCTTTGGAGAAATAGTTCTGTTTGGGCAATGACGTCGACGGAGAAGAAGGAAGGTTCAAGCTCCACCCCTAATCGCAAAGTATCGTGTACTGCTAGCTTCGACGCGCTTTGGTTCTGCTACTGTAATAATGCCTATTTCCCTAAAACCTAAATCTCATGTATTTTTCAATTGGGTCATTCAAGTAACCCTAAATTTTGTGTCTTTAATGTTTGCAGCCCCAGTTCATCAAATGCAGCAGTATTACAGGGTTGGTGTTCTTGACAATTGTTCCCGCCAATGGAAAGCAATGGTTGATTGCTTAATGCTCAAGACCAAATCCTCATCTCATGTCCAGGTTGCTCCCTACTTCCTCATTTCACCAATTGTGTTTATATTCTGAGAAATTTTTTAGATGTTGGGTTAATGTTTTTTCGTCCACTTGTGAATATGATCTTGATGGTATTTTGAAGAGAGTGGATGAGTTTTGAGGATTTAAACTCCTAGTTTACTGTTATGGAAGTGAAAAAAGGAAGAAAAACTACTTTGAATGAGAATGTAAGGTTATGCCTACCCTTAAATATATGGGATTAAGATATAATGCATTTCAATGTTATTTTGAAACAAACACAGTTCATATATCATATCATTCTATAGTAGTCCTGTCCAAGAGTGTTATGACTGAACCACCACATCATTTGTTCATGAGATTGTAAGCTACTGACCACAATACTTCCCAACTTTGTGAATATCACTTTAGTTCTTTAGGACAGTGTAAAAATGTAGTTAGTAAAGATTATGAGTTTTGTAAAGTATTGAGACGTAACCCGAGTTTAATCCTTAGAAACTAAGGTGATCAATGCTTATTACAATTTCATTTACCAATATGGGGTTTTATTGAAAATGTTCCATTGATTTTTAACTGAAAGTCTCCAACTGTTTTGGCACACAAAAAGGGAGAGCCTCCTTATATTTGTGCTGGAAAATGATGTAGAACAGTGCTGTGCAAATATTAGTGCTAAGCATAGTGTTGAATATTTCAAATTTGGTTGTATGTTATACAACATCTGTGAGAATAGGGTTAAGGAACCTCCTCTACCAGTTCTGTCTTACAAACAATCAAAGAAAATTATTCTCTTCATTGTTACTTTTGCTTTTCTAACTTATGCCCGTTTTGCTCTTGAATGAACGTTGAACAACACAGCACCATGAAATGAGCAAAGAATATTTAGTTGTAATTTTTTTAATTCACTGTGTTACCATGTGCTGTTGTGCAGTTACGTGGTTTAAATGTTCTTCCATGACAGCTTATCTGGCTTTTCCTTTGGGTAACACATTATAACTCCCTGGTGCAGGAAGTTCTGGAAACTCAAGAGAAATTAAAGTTAAAGTCACACATTTGGACTTTTCGGACACCAGAAGAAGCTTCTTACTACTGGAATGAACTTTATGGTCATTTGGACGAGCCTGAATGATAAAAATAAAATGGTGCTAATAAATGTTATTTAGTGCCTTCCGATATTGCCAAAGATCATGATTACGATGAAGATGTTACTAGAGATCATAGAGATCAAAGAAGTTCATATCAAGTTGAAGAACCCAGATAGTGAGAATTTTATTTTCCTTTTTATGCGGTCATCATTTTGAATATTACATTTTGGAATTGTAGATGGCTTTGCATATTGAGTTGCTGATACTAATAGTAATAAAAAATTGTAATGATTTTGTCTTCATGGTTCTTTTTAAATACTGCTATAGATTTTAGGCAAGCTAAAGCTTTTGGAGTAAAGAGGTAGAAGATTCACTCCTTCACTCACCAAGCATTTGGATCTAATACCTAGTTGTCCACAATTGACTCAAAAGAACAAAGTCACTGCACAAGATGAGAAATTAAAGAATTTTTCATAAACATTGGTCTTTCGGCATGTGAAAAATACAGAAAAAATGGATAGATTTGCCCATTCCACAGTAAATGCTTTTCAGTATACTTGTGATGCAGCAGGGACACCCACCAAGACCAATAGTCTATATAGTATATGGATGTATACTACAAAGATTGCGAGTATTAATGTTAGGTGTATCGATTTAAGTGGAATCTGTTGGGTTTGTTTGAATTATTTGTTCCACAACACAGTTATCAAGTCTGTGTTGCAAATCTAGTTAAGTTCCAATGGATTCCAACAACTGATGCTTATAAACAAACTAATGTCCTAACCCAAGGGACTTTATATATAAAAAAAAATGTTTTTATTGAGATGGTAAATAAATATAAATTAATTTTTGTTTTATTTAGATGTACTGTAATTTTTTCAAAATCTTTTATAATAAGTGTGTAAAAAATATTATTTATTTCAAAGGGATACATCAATGATTTTGATTTACAAAACATTTGCTTTCATAATTTATAAAAATATTTTTAATATCTTTTAATAATATTTTTTTATTTTATTTTCCTCTTCCATTAAAATTATTGACAATAATTTATCTTCTTCCTTTATAATAAAATATCGATTTTTTTCTTAAAAAATAGAAACGTAAAAATATGAACCGTTTTTTCATTTGATTAAAAAAAAAAGATTTTCATAAACAATTTTGATTTGAAAATTATGAGAAAATATTTGTATCTCAACAAAAATTTTAATATCAAAATTCACTTAAAATTAAAATACAAATTTTTTCATAAAACTTTTGAAAATAAATTTTAAATATCTTTCTAACCATTGATAGGAAATTTCTTGTCCGAAAAATTACTCCTTCATCCTTATCTTCATCTTTTGAAAACTTATTCAAATTAAATCCACGATTAACTTTTATATTTAAGTCAAAATCACTTGTTTTTCATGAAATATCTCATAAAAACCAACCTCTCAATTAGTTTTGAAAGATTCTTCAATTTCGTTCATGTAGTCTTTTTGTAAACGTGTATTATTAAATAAGTCATAAATTCTTTTTATAAAATCTTTAACCTTTTCTACAGAGCTTGATTACATAATAGATTCAGCGTTTTTATCATAAATGTTATTTTTTAGAATGAAGCAAAATTTATAAATTAGGGTAAAGTTAGTTGAAGAAATAAAAAATAAAATTTTATAAAACAAATTCTAATTCACCTTTTTAATAATAAATCTTTAGGATATTATAAGAAAAAATTATTATAAAAATAATTACTTTTTATTAAAATGTATATTGATAAAAAAATAATTAATGCCACGTTTAAACGTCATATATTTTGAAAAAGAGGGAGTATACCTTAAAAATTTTAAAATAATTGTAATTATACTATTATGTACAGTGAGAACTATTTTTGAGTGAAGAGAAGAGAAAAATAGTGAAAAATATGAGAAAAAGGATAGAAAAAAAATTATTTGAATTGAGAAAAATAAGATAAAAAAAATGTGTAAAAAAATATAATTATTTAGTAGATTTGATAGAAGAAAAAGATTAAATTAATTGAATGTATATTTTTTCTCTCATACCAATTTAAAAGAAAATAAAAAATGTAATCAGATATTAAAAAACGAATTCATACTCGATTTAAAAAATATATTTATAAAATATATATTTATGAAAAATATTTATTTTTCTAATATCTTCCACGTGTTAAATTTTTATAAAATTTTCATAATATGATTTTATTAAATAAATAAAAAATATAGATAAAATAAATATAAAAAAAAACATTTCTGTCAGCTATCTAATCTGACAATAAATAATTTATTATTTTTTAATTAAAATTTAAATAAATATTATGTTAATATTATGGAAAATTAAGAATAAAAATAAAATTAGGTTAAATAATATGTATTTGTTATATAAAGAAATAATAAAGGGTAATGAGGTGAGTTGTGGGTCTGTTCTCACTGAATGGGACAAAATAAGAAGCAAACAGAGACTAAATGATATATATATATATATATATATATATATATATATATATATATATATATATATATATATATAAAATCTTATACCAACTACCAATAATAATTTGACTTGTAACACATATATACAAATATTTTTAATTAACTATGACACCAAGACACTCACACCATAAATTTATTACTTAGGTGAAGATTAAATTTTTGTTAAATACATTCAAAGATAGCGAGAAAAAAAATTGGTATTCAAACTATTATAACAATAACAACTTTAAAATTATAATAGAATAAAAGTTCGTTTTAAGTAATTTAATTTTTAGAAAAAAAAAATCATGCAATTTTCTATCTTGTTAATTGAATCTAAATCTGTTTATTTTAGAAACTAAGATTATATGGAAAATTTTGTTTGTTGGTTATGTAAATAAAAATACTAATTCGCTAAAAGAAACATAAATCTATATTAGAAAAATTTTGGTAAAACTTTTTTATCCTAAGAATACATTTTCATATTTACTTTCACATACAAAAAAATATTCAATAACCTTCCACAAACATTTTGTTAAGTTTAGACATATATTTTATATAAAAAATATTTTTTATGTAATTCAAAATATATTAATTAACCATAACAATATGAAGCTTTATTAAAATAAATAGTAAAAGACTTTTTCCAATGAAGAAAACTATTTTTTTTTTCCTTTTTTAAAATTTGTTCAATTTCAAATACGCTTATATCTTGCTTATTCTAGATACTAATTTCTGATGAAAAATATTTTATTATATATACGAAAAAAAAATACTAATTTCAAATACACTTAAGTGTGTAGTGGACATTTTCTTTTTGGTAAAAAATTCATTCTGGTTACGTAATCCTAATTGCTTTCCTAAAAAATTTAAATTCAACCAGATACACATACCTTTTTGTTGGGATTAGATACTTATTTTATATGAAAAGATATTTAATTTTTGTTTTGTAATTAAATATTTACTTACGCAAAATAAACTTAAATTTTTTTTCACAGAAAAGAATTATAGTAAAATAATTAAGTTAAAAGTTATATATGTGTAAATTACACCATTTTGATTTTTTTTTTGTAAATTTTAGATATGTTATTTTTTAATTTACTTAAATTTATATTTTTGATATCTCATGCTCTAAATATTTCTAATTTAGTTTTACATAAATTGAAATTATTGATATATTTCAACTTACAGATATCTTATTTTATCTCATAAATCCTATATATACCTGATTTGCAAGTACAAATTTTATATTTGAGAAAAAAAATCAAAATCCTCTCTTTACTTGCAATTATAATTGCTGTTATTTGGAGTGGGAGTGTAAAGATGACAATGGGAAAGAAGGCATGTGTGATTGGTGGGAGTGGATTTATTGCCTCTGTTTTGATAAATCAATTGCTTGAGAAGGGTTATGCTGTGAATACAACTGTTAGAGATCCAGGTTCATCTTTTTATCTCTTTTTTATACTAACTGTTGTTATTTATATTGTTATTATAATTTTTTTGAATATATGTACACCAACAAAAAAATTACCAAAGAGAATTGTTCTATTAATTGTTATAGATGATCATGTAACATAAAAAAATGGTTTGTTTCAATCCACAGATATGTTCATATAGGTAGCAAGTCGCAGTTACTGTTCACTTTAAAATTTTAAGTTGAGCATAATAGAATATTCAAATGGTTAACTTTCATCATTGTAACGTAGCTGAATTTTTGTTTAGAAATGTAGAATATTCAAAAACATTATTGGCGAAGAAATTTATGGTATTATAGAAATCATTTTTTTTAAGAGTTGAGATTAGATATGTGAACAAAATTTTCATGCATATTCTGCAGGTAATCCCAATAAAATATCTCACCTTGTGGAACTGCAAAGTTTAGGAAAACTGCACATATATGGAGCAGACTTATCAGTTGAAGAAGATTTTGATGCCCCTATATCTGGTTGTGAACTTGTATTCCAACTGGCTACACCTGTCAACTTTGCTTCTGAAGATCGTGAGGTAGATTCAACCCTGATTTTGCATTATAATTGTTTTCACTAAATTATATGTCTGAGTTGATGAAGAATTTAATCCAAAAATGCTTCTGCAAACTATTATTCAGAATGACATGATCAAGCCAGCAATAGCAGGCGTATTGAATGTGTTGAAAGCATGCGCTAGAGCAAAAGATGTCAAACGAGTCATCTTAACATCTTCAACAGCTGCTGTAACTATTAACCAGCTCAACGGGACAGATTTAATCATTGATGAAAGCAACTGGACTGATGTTGAGTACTTGAGGACTGCAAAGCCACATGGTTGGGTAAATAACCAAACCTTAATCACTTAACATGGGTTTGTGCTATTCCTTATTGAAATAGATCAGTACCTTGTTTGTTTACTATTTTTAAAGACCATTTTTGTTTTGTAAAATATTTTCTCCCCAAGCACTTGTTAAAATGTTTGTTTGTCTGCTCCTCACTTCTTTTTTTCTAGAAATTTGTCTCTTGAGTAGATGAAGAAAACACTTGACGAAAAGAGAATGCCAAAACAGTTTTCAACTGTTTGTGTTGTTTTGCTTTTTGTTTCAAAACACTTGGTTTGGAAACCATTTTCAAAACTTGATAGATTTTGGTGATATAATGATTGCTGAGTAATGTGAAATTGTGTAGGAATATCCTGCCTCCAAAACACTGGCAGAGAAAGCTGCATGGAAATTTGCAGAAGAAAATGGCATTGATCTCATTACTGTGATACCTACTCTCGCAATTGGTCCATCTTTCACTCTAGACATCCCCACAAGTGTTGTGGTGGCCACGTCCCTTTTTACAGGTTCACAAAATTCCATATCCAATGAATTCAGCACTTCTACACCTGTCACATTTCTAAGCACCATACCAATTGACACGAATGTTTTTGTTGGCATTTTGCTGAAATCTTGCAGGGAATGATTTTTTCTTTAAGGCTTTCAGAGGTATGCAATTGTTGTCAGGTTCAATATCTATCACACATGTGGAGGATATCTGCCGAGCACATATGTTTGTGGCAGAGAAAGAATCTGCTTCTGGCCGATACATTGTGTGTGCTCACAATACTAGTATTCCTAAACTTGCAAAGTTTCTTAGCAAAAGATACCCTCAATATCAAATTCCAACTGAGTAAGCTTCTAACCTTAAATTCTGTGTGAAATATCTGCAGAAATAAATATACTTGCTGCCTCTTGGCTCTTTCTTTGTCTTGCATTTTTTCCAAGGAATATCATCCTTTGGAGAATTTTGTTGGTGGATTATCACCACACGCGATATGCCAAGGATATGAATTTTATGGGCTTGAAAATTATTTGATATTGCTCTTCATTCTCATTCCTTGATATAGTACTGTTAAGTAGTCTCCATTTATCTCATGGTAGAAACATGTCTTACCTTCTATTCAAGCTAAGTATTACTCTGTAATTGCAGATTCGATGATATCCCCTCCAAGGCAAAGTTTGTCATCTCTTCAGAGAAGCTTGTAAAAGAAGGGTTCAGTTTCAAGCATGGGATTGAAGAAATTTTTGACCAGAGTGTCGAGTACTTGAGCAGTAAGGGGGTACTGATGAACTAAAATTTGATGTTCTTGCAGACTTTCTGCTTGTTATGTGGTAGCATATGCGGTATGCTATCTTACCAAACAAGGGATCATTGTCAACAAATTGGAAATAGTGAAGAAAATTTTCTTCCTCATTTGCGATGACTTAGTAATTTTAGTCACTTTGTATACATTACTTTAACACTTAGTATTAGTATTTTTTTTTTTTATTTGGTTAATCAGTGAGATTAATTCCTTTGGATTTTAGTGAAACTTCAATGAGTTTAGTCTTTCTGTCACAGTATTAATTTTTGGCTCAAGAGTAATAATACTTGGATATATTGGATTAATATTTGAAATGACTTTAAAAATTATTTTCTTTTTATAAAATTTTTTTATGATTGTGAGGCTTTTAAATAATATAAATACGTCTTTTGATATTCAACTAAGATTTCTTATAACTCATAAAAATTTCGTTAATATTTCAAAGTACATCGATGGATTATTGTTTTATGAAGGCTTTTGACAAATTTCACGTGATTATTTTGTTAAAATGTATTAATACAATATCTTACTACTTGATAGTTTTTTTATAACAAATTTGTTTTGATGAATTTTTTATTTTTCTAAATAAATATATCTTAATCTTCAATATTATTTGTTAACAAAAAAAACATAATTTAGAATATATTATTCAAACAAAAATTATAAAAACAAGAAAATACTAACTAATGCATAGAAAATACTCGAGAAAATTTGTCGCAAATAATTTTTTTCTAAAAGAAAAAGCAGCTTTAGTTGAAAAAATATACCTTACTAACCATTTAGAATATGTTTGAATGAGTTTCTTCGTAAGATTTTTTTTAAAGGAAAAAGAAAAAAAATGAAATAAAGTCAATTTAAACATAAATTAAAAATAAAAACTTAAATGAATGCGAGAGTTTCTGCACATTATTTAACTTATAAGAAGGTTAATTTTTATGGTTCTTCTCCAAATTTTTTTATAAAAATATTCATCCAACATATCTTTAATAAAAAAATTAGCTGGAGTTGAAATAAGAGATGGTTAACCATATAAATTTATATACGGTTTCATACATGCAAATGCTTTATATCTAATAAGTGAAAGAAAGATGAAAATATAAATTAAAATAAACTAATATTATCACATAAGTTAGAAATAATTTATATATTCGAATCTTTTAGAAACTTTTGTTTAATTTTCAAACAAAATTGAGTGCATGAATTAATTTTAGATTTTTTTGTTAATAACTAATTAATTTACATTTGAAATGATGTTTTAAAATTATACGTAGTTCTTTGGATTATATAAACAACTAATTTTTACACACACAAAAAACTTAATTTTTGTATAAAATAATATTTAGATTAAATAATATTAAAAATATATAATTAAGGTGAGAAATTTATTAAATTTGTCTAAAAAAAAATCGGTGAATTTAATGATAAAAGGCTAAAGTTATAAATAAAACTAAACAATATATTTAATTTTAGACGACACGCAAATAATAATAATACCTTTTCGCATATTTTTTTTCTTTTACATTTCAAAACTTACGAAAATAAATGTGCTCTATGGAATTTACATATGTACACTCTACCGGAATCTCAAGTGATTTATTTTATCATAAAAGTAATGTTTCGTAGACAACACAAACGTCTATATTATTTAATATTATATTATTATTTTTATATGGGTTGTCCCTCTTTATCATATGCAAAAGGATGAAGATATATTCTTTTTTTTTTTTTTTGGTATTGTTGAGAATGAAATTGAGGAATTTAAAAATATAAGAATTAAATACAAATTTTATGAGAGAAATGGTTTATTAAGATTTCCATTGAAGGGTAGATAGAGAATGAAGATGAGGTGGAGATTTATAATTAAGTTTGAGATGGTTAATTGTGAAGAAAAGGATGAGAGAGAGAGAGAGAGACCAGTTGATGGGGAGTTTTTGGTGGCAAGCAACCACCAAACACCATCACGTGCTCACCTTCAATTTGGAGCACACGGAGATGAAACGGTGCGAGAGGTTAAGTAGGCGAAATATTATTAGTATTTAAGAAGGTTCTCTCCCAAGGGAAGGTTAAAAAAAGTGTGATAGAGTAAGTTTGATTGATCCTTTGAAGTAATGGCGAGTATGAAGAAAAATGGAAAGAAGGCATGTGTGATCGGTGGGAGTGGATTCATGGCCTCTATCTTGATCAAGCAATTGCTTGAGAAGGGTTATGCTGTCAATACCACTGTTAGAGACCCAGGTTCTTCTTTTTCTCTCTCTCTCTCTCTCTCTTTTAACCTTTTTCAATTTCTCTTTTTATATATTTAATCCTACAAAATACACACTTTCACCCTTTAACTATTTTTTAACCCTCGTAAGTGACAGTTTTTTGTACCAAATGCTACAGAGGTTAATTATCACATTGTATCTGACTTTTTATTGTATTATATTATTTTAATAATTTACGTTTATATTTATATTATTAATAATATTTGTAACTACAATATATATTATTTTATGCCATTTTATTTATTACATAAAAATAATAATTTAATTAAATATACAATTTATTTTGTAATGTATTTTGATTATATAAAAATAAATCTTAACAAATATTATGTTATGCATTATAAATCTTCTAATCAGTTTCATTTTAAGACATTACACAAAGAAAAGGGTATTAGTTATGTGGTTAATAATTTACATTTTCTCAAATAACTAAATTATTTGATTTAACAAAAGATAAAATAATTATAAAAAAATGAATCTTTTATGTAATGGTACAGAGATAATAATAAATATTTTATAAGTAAATTTTTATATAATGGTTGGAGATAAAGATGAATATTTTATTTTAATTAACCATGATTATGATATAATTAGCTATTATTTTATTGTTTTATTATAATAAATAAATAAAATTAATATTGAAATAATAAATAAAATTATTAATAATAAATATATTTCTTTTCATTTTTTTTGTTACCTTTTTCTCTATTTCTTCATTAATCAACCAAAAGAAAAAGGTAGATTAAAATTTTGAAGTCTTACAAGAGTCATGTTTGGATGGTTGACATTTTTCTTCATTCTAAATATTTTTTATAACATATTACTGTTTATTTTTTTCTTCATTATCTTGGGCTTACGAGGTATGGTTTAGAACAAAGGTCTTATGAATAAGATTTTTTGACTTTGTGTTTCGGTGCAGATAATACTAAGAAAATATCTCACCTTTTGGCACTGAAAAGTTTGGGCGAATTGAACATATTTGGAGCAGATTTAGCAGGTGAAAAGGATTTTGATGCCCCTATAGCAGGCTGTGAACTTGTTTTTCAGCTTGCTACACCTGTGAACTTTGCTTCTGAAGACCCTGAGGTAGATTGCACACCGAACTAGAAACTGCATCATAAGTTTTTCGATCATATTGAATGCTTTTACATGAACATGTTGAAGAAAAAGACTAATGAGGACATTCTTTTGCAATTACTATTCAGAATGACATGATCAAGCCTGCAATCTCAGGCGTGTTGAATGTGTTGAAAGCATGTGCACGAGCAAAAGGCGTGAAACGAGTCATCGTAACATCTTCAGCAGCTGCTGTAACCATAAACCCACTCAAGGAGACTGGTCTGGTTATGGATGAAAGCAACTGGACTGATGTTGAGTTCTTGAAAACTGCAAAACCACCCACTTGGGTAAAAGTCAAACCTTATTTAGCATCTAGCTTGATCAACTTTTGCAAAATTAGTTTGAAATGATATTCATTTGCTTTATTATTTTTTTGGTTAGATGATTTTATTCTGAAAGCAACTTAGTAAAACTCAAAATAAAAGTCTCTATCCAAGTAAAAGTCAAGTCAAAGTTGTTTCAATTCAGAATCATTTTTTTAACATAGGACTAAACGTGTGAATATTTATCTGAAATCATGTCAATTTTATTTTAATATGATTTGAGATAATCCAGCTTGAATCCAAACACACACCTATAACTTGATGGAAAAGATTACTTATTACTCACTGGATAGACTCTGAAGTAGTGTTCATCCAAACATGTAGGGTTATCCTGTCTCCAAAGCACTGGCAGAGAAAGCTGCATGGAAATTTGCTGAAGAGAATCACATTGATCTCATCACTGTGATACCAACTCTCACAACTGGTCCTTCTCTCACTCCAGACATCCCATCAAGTGTTGGCCTGGCCACGTCTCTCATAACAGGTTCAAATAGGCCAAATCTACTGCTTTAATTTAAGCACTTTCAAGACCTGTTATATAACATGTACTTTTATAGGAGCATAGTGAATGACCCATATATGATTCAATGCCATTTTTCTTGTACCATGCAGGCAATGATTTCCTCATAAACGCCCTGAAAGGCATGCAGTTTCTATCAGGTTCAGTATCCATCACTCATGTGGAGGATATTTGCCGAGCACATATATTTGTGGCTGAGAAAGAATCAGCTTCTGGTCGATACATTGTCTCTGCTCACAATACTAGTGTTCCAGAGCTTGCAAAGTTTCTTAGCAAACGTTACCCTCAGTATAAAGTTCAGACTGAGTAAGCTTGTAACCATGCTTTTCTTTCTGATTCAAGGAATCCCTTTCCTTAACCATAGATTTAATGTTTGCAGATTCGATGACTGTCCCTCTAAGGCAAAGCTAATAATCTCTTCTGAAAAGCTTGTGAAAGAAGGATTCAGTTTCAAGTATGGGATTGAAGAAATTTATGATCAGACTGTGGAGTACTTGAAGAGCAAAGGGGCTCTGAAGAACTGAATTTGGAAATTCTAATGCTCTACCAAACTCAAACTCTTCACTTGTCATGCAGTAGCAGTTTGCTAATAATAATCTCTGTCAATCCACTACTTTATTACCACCTTGTTAAATTACAAACTATGATATTCCCCCACTTCGATGAAATTTATTAAGTTTGGATTTCATTCTGCTTCTTGTTCAAGAATTATTAAATATTTGATGAACTCTACCGAAATGAATAGGAAAATTCAATTGATATTGATAGAAAGAGTGCTACAATCATCCTCTTACAAATATTAGCTAAAATAAAACCATTATTGAAATTAGTTTTCAATCAGTTAAAAAAAAATTGCTTTCTTAAAACTTTAATATATAAATTTCTTTTGGTTTATAAAAAAAGAATCAATCTATTCTACTGTGGTTCTTGCGGCAACTTGCATTGGTTCTTCTGTGGTGGTCAATCCCTCTGTTTTTCAATTGAGGGTTAGGGTAGGTATTTTCTGATGGAGGGTTTCAATCCAAGAGGAAAATGTTTCCTCATCAAAATCACTTTCACTTTTTCGTTTGCAAATTTTCATTTTTGTCCTTCAACCTATTTCTAATTTACATCTATCAGCTTTATAAATTACAAAGTACTCCCTAATTTTTAATTAATTGTAATTTTAACCTTAGATTGTCAAATGGCGTATGATTTCCCATGTTAAAATATCATTTTTATTTCCCTTAATTGATTGTCAAATTACTAATGATTTCACATGTTAAGTACGGAGTAACTTTCAGTTTAAAGGGAAATGAAAACTACCTCGTACTTGTCGCGTCACACCATTAATAATTTCACAATCAATTAATTGAAAATACAACAAATATATAATTTAGAAATTTCACAATCAATTAATTGGAAATACAACAAATATATAATTTAGAAATTGGATAAATAAAATTCGTGAAATTTAAAGTTCAGTAGCAAAGTTCGTAAAAAAAATAAAAAATAAGAGTAAAATATACAATTAAGTCAACACATGTTTGGCTAATTTATAATAAGGGTAATTCTCTTTTATTTTTTTAAAATGGATAATTTTTAAAATAATTCCAAAACTTGTATATCTAAATATGTTCACTTTGCCACACTCAACACTTGCAAGTTGCTATAAAGCTTTCATGAAGTATGAAATTGTATGGAATTCCAAAATCAATTGTATCCTACCGAGACAAAGTCTTCACAAGCAAGTTTTGGTAAGAATTGTTATTGAGTGCCACCACACCCTTGTCAAGTGGTGGACAATGGAGACCCCTACAAATGTTTAGAGATGTATTTGAAGTGTTTCACATGATAATCCAAAAAACAAAATAAATTACTTTCATGGACAGAATTTTGGTATAATAGTTTTTTCCAATTGACATGACTCCCTTTAGGTTGTTCTGGTTTAGATTCCCTAACCATCGACAAATACCAAGTGGATTACAGTGATCCACTCTCCCTACAAGAACTGTTGCAACAAAGAGACTTAACTATTACTCGACTAAAAGCACATTTGATTAAGACTCAAAATAAGGTGACGAAAAATGTGGATGAAAAGTGCATTCACAGGAATTCGAGGTAGGTGACTTAGTGTTGGTCAAATTACAACCGTACTCGCAGCATTTCGTGTGGCCCTGTGAAAGAATAAAAAACTAGGACTCCTATATTTTAGTCCATTTCCTATAATCCATAAGATTGGTTCAATAGTGTGTATAAGTTACTTTGCCTACTTGTGCTAAAATTCATATAGTCTTCCATGTGTCATTATGAAAGAGATGCAAAGGTGATCATCAAGCGCCTTATATGCAATGCCGCTTCCTATTCTCACTAATGAGTTCGGCCCTTTTGTTCAACCATTCAAAATTCTGATTTCTCGGACTATCACCAAATGTGATCAACGTATTGGTCAAGTTTTGATACAATGGAATGGTTTAAATGTCACTCATGCTACTTGGGAAGGACATCATTGATATCTGCAAAGATTATCCTAATTCAACATTGAGGACAATGTTGATGTTTATAGGGTGAAAGTCACAGTGGGAGAAGGGTCATTGGACAATGAGTCACATGGAAATGATGCATTGGTTAAGCAAGGGTGAAGAAAGCAAGGCAAACCTTGAAGGAATTTATAAGGTGAATGAGGTCATTATATAAAGATTAAAGAAACTCGTATATTCCTTGTCATAATACAATACCGAAATATTTCATCATTATTTAGTGTGAGCTTCTTACATATGGTAAAAAGCTATATTGTTTAAGTAAACAAAGTAGAAGGCACGTATTTACACATCCAAAAGCACTGGCTGACTCATAAAGATCATCGGCTATGCAATCTCCCCAATAAGTTTGTGCGCTCAATTGATGAAAAGCCCTGAGTTTCAGTCTGGTCGATTCCAATGCACATTTCCTTTAATGCAGCAGCAGATGATGTTGGGCCATTAATTTTACTATGCCTCTTAGAAAGCTGAGATAATTCTTGAAAATTTTCACACATCGAGGGTCGTCTTTCGGAGACTTCATTGACACATTTGAAAGCAAGTGAAGCAATGTCGTTAAGAGTATGCACATCATATTTTCCATTTAATTGTCCGTCCACAATTTCTTCCCATCCAACCTTATCCTCACCTTCCATGGCTGCCTAATGATAACCATAAAGATATGTGTCAATCTTAAGTATTTATTTGTATATTTTCAAATGTATCAAGATACAGGCATGCACCACAGCACAAGCATACACATAGATCACTCACTACAAGCAGATGCTGTTCTTACTAGTTTTACATATTCCATGAGCCCTAGCTGCGGATTCCTGCCTGTGATAAGCTCAAACAGTAGCACACCAAAGCTATAAACATCACTTTTCTTAGTGAAGGTTCTTGTAGACAAGTACTCAGGGTCAAGATAGCCGAAAGTTCCTCGGATCTTCGATGTGCGAGGTTTGATCATCTCTGGTCTGGAAAGCCCAAAGTCAGTGACCTACACGTATATAAAAGTAGAAAGGTTTTAAGCTTCAATATGGACAGAAGAATTGAAGGGATATGATGAAAAAGGAAAATTGCAGCAGCCTCTGTACAAAAATAAGGTATCATCGTTGTCAGAAAAGCTTCCTCTGAATCAAGAAAACTATGGCAATGTCATTTTGATGAATATAAATACAGAAAAGAAAAATTTAAAGGCAATGCATAAATGGAAGAACAAATAACAAGAAAAATAACATCTAAATTAATAATGCTCCGATGAGTGTTTTAGAGTATCACCAATATCCCTCTTTATCTTCATGGCTAACTAAAAGTGCAAAAGCTACCTTGGCCTTCATAGACTGATCCAGCAGTATGTTGCAAGATTTGATGTCACGGTGCACAACAGGTGGAGAAGCCTGGGACAAGTTCGATTTGAAAAATAAGAAACCAAAAGGAAACTTATACCGTTCCATGTTCTCCATGGGTAGTTTACCAATTTAATTAGAATTATTTGAGTATACTATACCCCACAATGTAGATATTCCAGTCCCCTTGCAACATCCAGTGCTATGCCAAGCCTCAAATCCCAACTCAATGGCTCATGATTTTTCCCGAAATCTGCAAAACAAAGGGTAAGTAAATAGGGACCAAGAAGAGTACAGGTAACAAAATTTCTAAGCTCTAGACGAATATATGAAAATTTGTTTCCTAGAATTATCTTTCGCAAAACGAATAGTAGTCTGTGTCAAAGTTGATGGAAAGCAGCCCAATATATAACTAGATTAATTTCATCTCCTCCTATATGTGGTGATAATTTTGTCAGTAAAATCCCAGTGGTTTAAAGCTATATAATAAGGTGATAAAAGAACCTTATCATGAACAGTAAACATAACATACCATATAAGCATGGATTAGACAACCCAATAAAGTAATACAAAGTTGAGTCAGGGATAATCAATTGTTCTATTTTTCAAAAGACAAAAGTCAAAACAACTCCGATTTTCAAATTATTGGTTAGATAAATTCACTGATATATCATTGACACAAACAATAAAAATACAAATGCTTCCTTGAATTTAGACAAAATATTCAGGTCAAACTTTTTTTTTTGAGGGACAAATAATGAAGTCACCTCACCAGTCACAGAGAATATCTACTGCATCATCGGGCACTATTCAAACAAATTTTCCTACTAGTGTAAATTACAAGAAAAAGTGGATATCTTTCTAACCATACAAATGGGAAGCAAGACTGCCATTGCTCATGTAAGTGTAAAGAAGCATATGTCGTCCTCTTTCTGCCACATATCCCACCAAATCAACCAGGTTTCTGTGATGTAATCTTCCGAGTAATAAAACCTGCTAATATGAAAGGAAAGAGTCTTAAGCTGTCTTAATGTTACAATAAAAAATTATCAGCCAAATTGTAAATCTCTGGAAAATAATGTGTAAAGAACATTTTGATAGTAGCTTCTTGTAAATTCAAGTAGAAGAACTAGTACAAAACATAGGTGACATAGGATTGCATTACTGTGTGCGAAAAATCGTAGTCTTGTAGATATTACACCTCATATTGACACAATTCTGGTGCCAGCCTGGGTGTGTGATCTGGAGTTTTTTATCAGCTTAAAAATCAGAAGATTTGAAAGGGGAAAAAATTGAAGATTAAAGTATAATTACATACTAAGTAATAGCTTTGAAATTTATCCAGAGATGTTTTAGTTGAAAGTTAAAAGTAAATATCCATACTGCAAAAACTTAAGAAATTGTAGTTTGCATAGACTTATTATTTTCCCTCACATCTTGAAGTAAAATACCAGGGACCAATTAGTTTGCTGAAGTGGTATTCTGCAGTATATATAATATACGAATAATAAGTAAAAGGTTAGTAAAATAGGATACTCCATTAAGTAAGAAAAGAAAGAATACAAAAACACCATTTAGTTTTCTATTTACCAATACATTTCTCTTAAGGTAAAGAATCAGTAATATACAAATTACAGAAATTCCTGTTGGGAGAGTTCCTGATTCAATACAATAGCAAAAGGCAATTTATACAGACTACAGATACAGACACATCAATAGAAGCCTTAGCATATCATTTACCTCAGATAAAAATTCCTGCTCTCCTTGTCTTGAATTAGTACCTAGGACTTTAACTGCAACTGTCTCACCTGTAGCCATCTGTGCTTTATAAACAGAACCAAAGGCTCCGTTGCCAATGATGGTGGTGAAATTAGAAGTAGCCCTTTGCATATCTCTGGAAAAGGTGTCACAAGGTCACATAAAAAAAGTATTTATAAGATAAGAAAATACACAGCACTAAAGCAACTACTAAAAGGAATATAGAGAAATGATTCTCAACTTCAGTCACGACTTAGCAACTAACAATTATATTATACAAGACCAATATATTCAATCCAAGAAAAAAGTATTCAAAAGAAGTTGGTTTCAACCCCCCATTGTACTTTTCTGTCACAATCCCAAGCTGAATTATATATTTCTTTATCATTCAGGTTGCATATTCTAATCCTTTTTCACTTCTGGTTATATTTTCTGTCTTCTGTGCCAGAGAACTTTCATTGCATTCTTAGTGTGTATAATATCTAGGCAATTTTATCATTCTCTGGGATTTAAATGAAGATCCCTCAACTCTTCCTGCCAAATGTCTCAGGGACTGAGACTGCAATGCAACAGCAATTGCGAGCATATAGACTGTAGTTATCCACATTTTTCTGCAATATTAAAGATTACAATGAAAATATAGCTGCAACTTAAAGCCATGATTCAAGTCAACCCAGCGCTTAATCCGACATTTTTATTCCCCCTCACTTTGGGTTACCAGATATTACGTCATTTTGGGTTGTCACACACGACTGTTGGACGTATTTGCTACCGGAAGTTTAGGCAGAAAAACAAATATATTATTTTTGCACAAACGATAAGTATAATGATTACTAGGGTTTAAAAAGCTAAGAAATTCTAGTAGCTGCACACTAATTTACAGTAACTGTCAATCAACGAAAGCAGGAAACAACGATGCAATAAAAGTTATTATACTTGTAAGAATACTTGGGAATTCCACATGCTGACCCCGCACTGTTTCTCCTAAGATTTTCCAACCATAAAGGCGTGTCACTCCACTCAGATGTTCTGGGTGATTCCTTGCCCTCTGATAATGTTGAGTTAGAATCGGACCCTTTGACACTAACAGGAATGATCGTCACTGAACTGTGAGAAATGCTCTTATCAACCTTCGTGCGCCTCATTCCCCTTATGACGCAAAATACCATGAAGACTGACAAACCCGTCCCAACAACAAAGCCTATACAAATTCCTGTTAGGAAAATCAAGGTATGTCTGTTCATCTCATTTAAACTGAGAATATATTCTTCGTACTTCAGTGGCTTCCCCTTGAACCTGAAAATCACAAAAACGAAAACTAGTAAGGGCCAGCCAACTAGCATATCTGTCATTAGATAACAAGGGAAAACCAACATCTACGTAACTTTATATGATTATATCAACAGATATTGCTTAGAACAGATTACCCTATCGAAGTGCAGGCTTTTGCATAAGCCAAAAGCCTGCACTTGTTAGCAATTTCTCACTATATGAAAAATAGCAAGGAAACCACAATCACGACAGTAGATTAACACATTCATTATTTCTCTGGAGGAAATCACAAAAGAGACATTCTCTTGCACTTGAAATCGCATCAACATATCGTGCTTCCCATGTCCCCTTTTCTCAACATCTTTCAAACAAAGAAGATTTTGCAAATGATGAATTTACTGTAGGAAAGAGGAAGATGAAAGAGAGAACCCCACAATGCAAAAGACTTTCCTTAGGGATAATTTCAAAAACCTCAAGCTTGCCGTAACTGAATTGCTGGTCTCATCATCCATCGCACTCAACTTGCTTAAAATTTAAAAGCCTAAGCAATCAGCACACATTGGTGAAATGAACAATCTGTGAATCACAATCTCCTTGCATGAGAAGAAACAAATGGCAGGCACTTACTATAAGCAAATTGAGCTCAAAAGAACCTAAAAAATTGAATTGTCTTACAAGTGACTCATCCAATAAGAGTAAACAAAACAACTATTCAGAAGAGCGAGAGAAAGAGAAGACGAAGGAATTAAAACAAAGGCAAAAGTAAGTGATTAAATGTAATTACATATCTCAAGGCCTGATAAAAATTTACAATAAGAAATTCTAATACTAATTAATGCAAGTATGGATCAACATGTAAAGTTCATGATAAGAAATTGAGGGTTTTCTTACAGAGGGGAGAGAGCATAGCATGTCAATGAAAGACAGAGACAAAAAAAGTGGTATTGCTACAGAGTTAGCACGACATTCAGCAGGATTCGTTCCGAGTTGAATGTAGTAACAGTGGAGTGAAGAAGAAGCAACACGTTGAGCGCTGTTGTGATATGCATGCAAGAGAAGAATGAAAATAGTGCAATGACGAGGGAAATGCACGTTTTAAGCGTGGAGAAAGACAGCATCAATTGTGGTGTGTACGGACAAATGATGCCAAGAAATAAGAAAATCTGGATCCAAGTGAGTGTCCATATTTCCATTTTTTTTTCTTTTTCTAGACAAGTAAAAACTCCACTCATTACCCTATTTTCAGTAAACTTCCACTTTCCTTTTAATAAATAATAAATCTGAAGTATATTTTAAATAAATTAATTAATTTCACTTATTTTATTTTAAAAACACTTCCTAAGATTTAAAAAAATTCTATGAAAATAAAAGCTTAAAGTTTTAAAATATAAAATCTATTTATTTAATTATAAGAATATTTCTTCCATGTTTTTACTTATCTTCTAAAACAACGTTTAGTAGAAACCAAAATTGTAAAGACTAGATAAACCAGTAAAATATTCAAAAGTTTAATTAATGATATTATTATTTTAAATACTTAAAATATTGTTATATTTTACTTAAAAGTAAATCATAATATGTAAAAAATATCTAAAATAAGTAAAATTTATTAAAATTTTCAATTTATCAACATTTTTCATTCATTTATTTTTCCTATTTATTAACATTTATTTTTTCTATAGTTAAAAGATTAATGAATAAATGAAGAAAAAAACAAGTCTTCGTTTATGTGGGACCCATATCACTATTATTTGGGTCTTATCTTAATAGGCGGTTTGGGCTTTTTCTAGTAAGGATATTCATTATAAGTTTTGAAAATTGAAGAAAAAACATAACTTAAAAAATTATACATTTGTTTTCATTTAATATAATATAAGTATTAATACAAAATATATAAAATAAAAATATTAATAATATTTCAATTATAATTATTTAAATCAAAATAAATGTAATATTTTTTTATTCTAAATAATTATAAAAACTCTTTTAATATCCAATTTAAATAAAAAATATTGTAACATTCATCCTTCTTTTCATACTTATTTATTTGAATTTAATATATCTTTGGTACATAATACAGTGTTAATTACAAAAATAGTCTTATTATCATTAATTTGTTTTTATTTTTGTTACCATCATTAAAATTGTTAGGGAATAAGTAAAAATATATAAATAAATTGGATTATCAATTTCTAATAATTTTATGATGTTTATTTGTATTCTTTGGTTTACTTTGAGTTATTTTTTATCTTTTGTTAATTAATTAATCTTAGTATAGTACCTTCTTGTCTAGCCATTCAGTTAAAAAAAAAGTTATATTGAAAATTAATAATTAGTGGTTTTCTCTTTATTATTTTATAATATATAATAAACTTAATTAATAAAAAAAAATACTTTGGTTTATTTGTATTCTTTGGTTTTCTAGTTTAATAATAAACTTAATTAATAATAAAAATATTTATATGAAATACACTAACTAGTCTAAAAAGTAGTTCCTTTTTCAGTATTAAGTTTAAATATATATTTTTAATTTGAACCAAAATATTGTTAATATTAATATTATTATTATTATTATTATATTATTGATGGAAAAATTAGTTGTTTTTATTGAGTTCTCTATACATGAGTACTCAATAACTAACACATTTACTGCAACTAAATCAGTAGTGTGCATTAACGTGCTCTATACCTGTTCTCTAGGATAAAAGTGTATCATAAAAATTAATTTATTAGAATAATTACAGACATAAAACTAACAAAAAATATAATTAATAGTTAAACTCGTAGTATGATTTAATTATCATATAGGAATAACACATCAACACAAAAACTCAGTCACCACCACAAGTTACAATCCAACCATTCGTGCAGAATAACTCCTCTCTGTAGCAACTAAACACATCATTCTTCTTCTTCTTCGAATTCGACCATTTCTATTCCGGTTGGGACAACTCCACCGCAAACCGAAACCATTTCTCGTTGGAGTCTTTGAATTTCCTGTCGAACTCTTCGCCTTGTCGCTGGATAGGGTGAATTCAATCCTCTTCTGAGTACTCTCACGTCCTTCACAAGGCTTTGCAGCTGAGAATATCAAGACAAAATGATGATGATAAATCCATTGACAATCAAAAACAAAATTAAAGGAGATTGCATGCATGAACGCATAACCTTTCTTTGGGGCCATCTTTTTAAGCCTCCCAAGCGACTAATTTTCTTCACCACAGAGTCGCTTACTTCCAATTTATCCGCCGCATCCCTAATAGTTAAATGGAAAAAGTGGCACAAATCATTCATTGTCATCTTTGGTACTCTCTTCCTCTGTGCCATGATGAAGAAAACATGTATTAAAACAAGTACAATATATGCAAATGCAAAACTTACAAAACAAAAAATATTACCTGAACTGCCATATTCCGTTTAGGTTTAGGCTTAGAAGTTGAAGGCCCTCCACTATCGGCCACAGGCTCAGCCTCAGGCTCAGGCTCAGAGTCAAACTCAGGTTCTATGCCATTTGCTACAATAATAAAGATTCAAAGCTCAGGATATATGATTGGAGAATTAAATTGCCATAATAATGGTTGAAGTGAAACGTGCAATCAATCAAGAGAAGAAGACTAACGTGGACTCAAATCATCGTCTCCGTCATTATAATGTTCAGCCCAATCCAGTCCAGTGCAGATGGTATCATAATACGTAGACAACGGATCGTCCAGAGCAACGAGCCCTAATCTTGTTTGATCCTTGCAGTACGCTACTAGGAAACTTCTTATTTGTTCTATGCTTTTGCGGCTGAAACTGATCATATCCAAAAAAAATTGAAGGTTAATAAATGCAGACTAAAACTATAACATAAATTAAGATAATTAAACACGTACCAGAGAAATGAATTACAAATAAATAGTAGTACCAAAGACTTGGAAGTTAGAACTTACTCAATCATTAGATAAATTTCACTTGGAGGTTCACCTCCTCCCCGTGTCATATCCTGAATGTGGACTATTGCATGCCCAATCACCCCGAGCGATCCATGAATCTCTAGCTTTTCAAACTTCAAACCTGCGGTATACTTATAATTTAAAGAAAATGAAAACGAGAAAAAAAAAATTATGGTGGAAAAATGAATTATATTTATCTATAGCGTACTCAAAACTTAATTACCATCTGTGTGAATTATTTGTCTAAGAATTTGACAGCAAGAGCAAGAGAATGACTTTGGTGACGGGGGCCAATGATCAAGGGCTATCACGTCTTCCTCGTTCAGTATACCATGCCTTAATAATGGATGTTCAGCCACTAGTTGTTCACCCTTCCTCCTCGATGGACCCTCCACGTCAATGTGAGGAACTCCTCCTCCAATGGTGAAATTATAATTTCCATGCATGGATTGATCTTGGAACGTTGGATTCAGGAAGGGAACATCGATATGTTCAACGCCAAAGGGATAAACATTTTGGTTTTGAGGCAGTTCATGTAAGAGTTGGGGCAGTGGATTTTGTTGTTGGGGAAGTGCATGTTGTTGTTGTGGCAGTGCATATTGGTGTTGGGGCAATGTATTTTGTTGCGGGGATAGTGCAATGAATTCATCATTGGATAGGTCGAAAATAGAGATGTCCCGGTCGATCAAGTTATGGAGAAATGGGTCAAATGAGTTATCAAAATCATAATACTCAGAATAGTTATTACGATGATTGTTATCCATGATGTGTTTAATCACGGTGGATTGGAGACACAGTAATCAACTTTGTTGCTTCGGTGGGGAAATGGATATGTGTTGTGTAGTAGCGGCGCCAAAGAGACAGCGCCGCTACCGGAACAGACACAATTTGTCGGTAACAGGAAATAACGATAAAAACTGTGAAAAGAAATATCCGATTGCATGGGGATTATATAAGGAGGTAAGAGGCACGAGAGGCAGTTAATTACCGTTGCGAGTTTTGAAGTGGGTTCTGATGAACTATTCAAAATCCACCAACGGAAACACTTGTAATCATCGTGACTGCTTAACTTAAAATCTTTCACTCTCCACCAATCCACCTCTTCCAACCCCTTCTTCCCCCTCTTTTTAATTCTCCTCTCTCTCCCTCCCATCTCTGCCACCTCTCTATCCACGCCATTCTCCAATCATGAGCCGCTTCATCAACTTCTAACGTTCTGGGGTCTCTGACATGGATAAACCTCTAAAATGTTTGGTTTCTTATACTCGTCCATGGCTCATCTTGAACTTACATGCTACTTTACCTTACATATTTATAAAATATATGTCTATGAGGGATATTTATTAATTTATCAGTTGTTCAGACTAAATGTTTTTATAAATTTCTGGCTTCTCGTGTCGCATGTATATAAGTGTATGTATGATTTTAACTAGTTATGTTTGTGGTGTAGTTTTAACCAAACGATACTGAAGACAGAAGAAAGCACCTTCTTAAGGCTTCCCATTCAATCTTTATGCATAGAATAGAATGTTGTTTTACTACCGTGTGACACGAGAAATTTAATATTATTTTGCTTTACCAGTTTATTTTTTCTTGCAATAAAAATTTCTATGTTTGAGTAAACAAATCAAAATGGTGAGTTGATTGATGCAGAGGTTGGAGGCATTGGCACAGGCATCTGTCATGATGACATTCGGCTTCCTGAACTAGCAATGATATATGCTCTGCTAGAGGTTGTCTTTTCCATAGTTAATGTGTTTGGAAACAATTAATCTTTCCCTAATTTTGATTAGTCGGTTTCTGTATCAGTTCTCCAAAGTCTTTTATCCATGCCTCCTCAATGCCATTAGCATCATATAGTAGCCATTTTGATTTTGGGGGTGGATAGAAAAAGAGAGATTGGTTCAGGGATATACTAAATGAAATTTCAAATCTATATTTCCGGGTACGATAGTTCTTTCCCTTTATTATGTTATCTGTCAATTATTCATCTTCTTTTTATACACTCACAAGGTTCAATTGAAATTAATTACCAAGTTGTTTTAATTTACTTTCAACTCAATATAATAATAATAATAATAATAATTATTATTATTATTATTATTATTATTTTATTTTTTTTAACTTTGGCAAGTCATTATATTGGGAGTTATATAAGAGGACAAGTTTAGAGACAAATCTTCTTCCAAGTTAACTTTTATATTATTAAAAAATAATAAATAAATATAAAAAATTTAAAAAATTTTTAAAAATCAAAATTATAAATATATTTAATAATGATCAAAGTTATATAAAATTTTTGCTTCAAGACCCCTAACTCCTAAAAAGATCACACAAGAAAAGTCATTTTGTTTGGTTAAAATTTATCTTTATAAATTTCCATTAATATATTATTGTAACCAAATATTTGAAATTAATACCTCTTAATTTTATTCATTTCTAGTCTTTAACAGTTATAAAACTAAGTGCTTTTTGTCCCAAGTGAGGGATGAGTTACACTGTTTTATTTTTTTCTTTTAAATTTAGGACTAATCACAAATAAAATTTAACTGGAGACTATAATTGAGAAATCGACATCTTTCAAACTGTAGAAAACATATAAGTCAATAATGTGTGTCGGAAAACAAACTCAATCTACTAAATTTCACATATTTTTCTCAACCATTGTTTTTTCAAATAAATTTTTATAATATATAATAGATATTGATAAATATAACCTTTTTTACACATGACAAGAAGTGATCATAATTGAAGTTTATATATATATATATATATATATATATATATATATAAATTGATAAGTCTAAAAATATTATTTTATTTTATTTTTCTTTAGAAATAAAATCCCTATTTATAGTAGATTAAAATTATTTTTATAATATTCAATATTTTAGTTAATATATATATATATATATATATATAGTTATAAATAAATTATAATACAATGTTAAAACTAAATTATTGCAAAAAAATTAAAACTATATATATTTATATTAAATAAATATACTAATTTAATTGCACCTCTAAAATATATGATTATTTTATTTCGAATAATTGTTTGCTAGTTTAATTATATTGATCAATATTTTATATTTTCTGTGTTATTCTCATCATATAATTAGTAATAAAGATTAAAAAAATAATGATTAAAAATGTAAAAAATTTAAAATTAATAAATATTTCTATAAGGACTAACATATAACAGAGCCATCTTTAGCAAGATTAAACATATAATTATTTTAAGATTTTTTTTAGTGATCCTAATATTATTTATATATTTCTAAAATTAAAATTTACTAATTAAAATTTTTTAATAAGAGTAAAATATATGCTAGTATTTGTTTATACTCTTGAAAACTTCCCTTTGATGGTATATAGTAATTTTGAATTAATATATTGTATTTTTTGTCTGATATAGTATAATAAATATGAATCAATTATTTAAATTTAAATGTTTTACGATTGAAAGTTATTTTATACTCATTCTTCTATTATTTTTTACCAATGTTCATATTCTAAAAAACATCAAATTAAATTTGGAGAAACGATATTATACTTATTTTTAGAAAATATTTAATCATTGGACTAATAAGTATGAATAACATCCCAAAAAATGCATAACATATAATTAAAAAGTAATATATAGATATAATGAAATATATATATATATATATATTATATTTATTGGTATTAATATATAATATTATTACTAATTTTATACGATTAATATTATTTTAAAATTTTAATAAAATAACTATAAACAAATATATCTAATGAATTAGTATCTATGAACATACTTCTATAATATAAATATACTTATAAAAATAGTGGTATTGAGAAGATTGTTACTAATCTAGTAGTTATAATTAATACTATGTTAATGAAATGATATTAATATATTTATATTGATTTTTTATATAATTTTTTCATATTTATTTGTTTATTTCTCTATATAAATTTATTTATTTGTGTTTATATTGATATTTATCTTTTAAAAGATTTATAACTGAGAGAAGTATATAATTTTGTCCCCAACCTTTTTTTTTTTTTTCAGTTGTTACATGTCAAAAATTAGCACTACATTATTATCCATGTGTAACAAAAGATGATGATTAGACATTTAATAAAATTTATTAAAAAATGATACTATATAGTTATTGGAGCTGTACATTTTAACATTTACAACATTTGAAAAGCTATAAAAATAACTATAGTTGCAACTTTTAAATAATACTATAAAAATTGATAATTCATCATATTAATCTATAATGAAATTAAACAATAAGATAAAAAAGAAACATAAGAAATAAAAGAAAAATCTCTATTATCTAAAAAAATAATTTATACACAAATAAAAAATATATAAAAAAAACTCTACAAACTAATTTATTGTGAAAAAGTTGTTTTTTTAAAAAATTCTTCTGAAAATATTGATATTAAAGTATTCACCCAAAAGTACCCTTGTTAATAAATTTTTATATAAAATATATTCGTTTATTCGTCACAAAATTTAGTATCCACGTTCACGTACTACACAAAAACTATCCTACATATTAACATAGTGCCATATAAATGACTGAATTTTTTTCATAACTATTAATTATCCATAATGTTAATAGATATTTAATAATAATAATAATAATATAATTATATTATCCAAAATCTTAAAAATGAGATAAGAGTGTTGTTAGTTCCGGTGTGATAATTATTGTCATTAAAAAAAAAATCTTTGTTCTCTGACTTTTTTTAGTAGAAATAAAATAAATTATATAATTAGGTGAAGGTAATGCTAAAATTATTTTAATTACCTTAAAATAAATAATCTTAATTTGACGTTAATTGAGGTGTGTTTTGTGTAAGCTTATACATTATTATTATTATTTTAATTTAATGAAATCACTCATTTTAAAACTTTAAAAACTAAATTTCTATAATTTGCAATAGAAGATAATCATTATGGATTATAATTTTTAAAACAGATAAGAAGATCAAGACTGTATTTTTCAGAAAGAACAAAAATAAATAAATAAATAAATAAATAAAATTGCACATTACAATCATTCTCACAACACTCTTCGCCCATCTTCTTCACTTTTGGTTTCGCATCCCAAACCCAATACCAATCGTAGTCCTGTTCCTGTTTTCTTTCTTCTCTGTTTCTCCATTCCCACTCGTGGGGTTCCCTCCTTGCTATTCTCCTTTCTCTCTCCTCGCTTCCAACTGCAACCACTAGCCTGAATTTTAGGATTTGGGATTGAGATTCTCTTCACTATTTTTTTGAATTTTTTTTTTTTTTTTGTGAGGGAGAAAGGGAGAGAATGTCGAAGAAGAAAGTTAGCGGCAACACCATGACGCTCAAGGACTTCCATGGAGGTTCTATACCCTCTGATCTAGCTCTACCTTCTGCTCCCGGCGTGTAAGCACCACCCTTTCATCGCTTTTTGCCTTGTTTTCAATCCATGATTTCTAGTTTTTGATATTTTTGTGTTGTTTGATTTGTCTTTGAATATTGGCAAATGGATAGCCCTGTTTATGTTGTGGTTGTGAAAAGAAAAAACAAAAAAAAAGGTGTTTGGGAGAGGAATTAGATCTGTGAATTTAAATTGTTCATGATTTCTGTTTTAGTTGGTTTTGCTAAGATTTCTTCATGATGGATCTGTTTGTGCGATGCTTTACCTTTTTTTTGGGGTTTTTTGGTCTTTTGCAGGACTGTGAGGGCTTCAGATCGTTCTGGTTTTGATCGGCCTGCGGCCTGGGGGACACCGATGGGGCGGTCGGATCATTGGTCTCGGCCGCACACATCACCAGCGACTAGGCATTACGATGATAAAAGCCCGTTTTTGTCACACACTGCTCCAATTGGCAGGAATTTTGATGAGGATGAGAGGAAGCCCCTGGATGGTGTTTCGGTGCCACGGAGGACAATCAGTGATGAGAGCATTCGTGGCGGTCCGCCTGCTCGTGTGGAGGTGAGGCCGGAATATGGACTGGGAGGGAGTTCATTGGGCAGGCAAGTGGCTCCAGTGTCTCAAAGTCATGTTAGGATGGGTCATTCATACTCGGCAAGGCTTACCGATGCTGTGCACGTGGGGATGAATCCTCAGAGTTTAGGAGGTAGTAAGGAGCAGGGAACTGCAGGTGGTGGTGGTGGTTATCCGAATGCGTGGTCAATGAGAAAAGAAGTGGCAAGTGCTGTTGAGCCGGAGCAACCGTCATGGTCTAGTGCTAGTGCTGCCTCCAAGTTGGCTCATGCGAGTGCTCTTGAGAAGGTGTCTTCTGGTAGATGGCAGTCAAAGGCTGTACATTATCAGACTGATGCTGAGATTGTTAGATCTCCTGAAGTGGAGAATAGACCACGTGTTAATGGCGTTGGTGCCTATAATAGAATGGATGCAGTTGGTGAGAAGGAGTATTATGATGCTATGCTGGCAATGCATGCCGAAAGGAGCTTAGGCATTGATAATCAGATGCAAGGTGGTAGGAATGAGTTACTAAATTATGAAAGGTCTGGGGTTTCCAGGTATTCAGATGTACGACCTACAAGTGCACCTTATCACTCTGATGGGGTTCAGCTGGCTCGAAATGATGGCAAAATTGTTGGGTCTGATATGCAGCACCCTATGCCTTCTGAACCAACTGAGCGACCTAAACTGAAGTTGCTACCAAGGTTAAAGCCACTGGATAGTTCAGAACATGCTGTTATGGAATATGAACAGGTATTCACAAGTTCAGCTTGCAAGTTTCCCTCCCACAGGAGTTTTTTTATCTCAATTTTTTCAGAAGGATTGGTTGATTAGCTTCTATATATTCTTATATCTGTTTTATGAATTCTCTTCTTTGCTTCATGGTAGGTTAATCGTCAGGTTAATGATTCTGGTCATGTTGAAACCGCTTATCAGGCACATGGCCATGCCAATTTCGTGAAGCCTGTATCAGCTGGGTCCGACAGTGGTAAGGAGGCAGGACAGCGCCCAAAGCTGAATTTGAAGCCTCGATCTCATCCAGTTGAACAGTTGGATGGTAACAGTGAAAGAGACAGGTCAGTTGTGTGAGGTTGTCAGTGTGATCATTTTTAACTTCTGCATATATCTATTATATGGTATTTGTGTTGTCTGTGAAAATGAAACATTGCCAGTTGGTTCAAACTATAGTGAACTATTGGCATATCAAACTACTTCTATAGTAGCTGCTTGAACTTGTAGATTATAAGAGTGGCTGCTCATCACTTATAGTCTTAAACCAATACAGTAGTAATACTCCAAATATGCACATGAAGTGGGAATGTTATTTTGTTTTGACCTAACTAAATTTGAAAAGAACATACATATTGGGTTTTCCAAGGTGGTTCATTTATCAGGTAAACTCCAAAACTAAATACAGCCCACCTATTACGAGTAGTTTAGGAATTTAGATTGTCTTCATCAGAGTAAAGAATGCTCATGTTCTCTGTGACAAAAGTGATTCTCCTCTACATCATGTCTAGAACTCCAATATTTTGTATTTAGCATGATAATGAAGAAAGGAGGAAGATGTGATTCCAGCAATTACCACACATGCACATACACCAAAAAAGAAAACACAAGAAAGAACATGCTATGCCTATACTTTCTTAGTCGGTTTTAAATTTTCAATGAAGATAACTAAAATGGGGATTATGTGCATTTTATGATCCTCATCCAATTTCCTCTATTTCTGTCTATCTTCCTCTCTCCACCCTAAACATTTAATATTAAACAAAATCGAAGAAACCATGGAATTACATTTACTCATCCTACATTTGGAAATATATTATATTATAGTTTGCAAGTTCTATGTGTGTGTGTATTCTTTTACTCATTCAAATATATTAAGGGTTACATATTACGATTTTGGAGCAATTCATGCAGATTAGGCGTAGGGCTTGAAATTGGAATCTGGCTCTTAAATTCAAATTTCATGTTCATCCAGCCTTTTGGAATTATATTTAGCAGTAACGATACCACATAAATAAAAAACTTCTAAATAGTGCCATTATAGATTCTTATGTTTGATTTTAATTCCGAAATTAGTTGTTTTATATTTGCTTTTATTCTTGTCATATAAGGAAAGCTTTATGTTTGCTTCGTCTCATTAGAGAATGTATGACTTATTTTGGTTTTCTTCAACTAGTGTATGTAACTCTTGTATTTTAGGAGTATTTTAGGAGTGTAAGTGTAACCAAGCATTATACATATATCGAATACAGCCACATCTCTATCATGACCTACTTAAACAAAATATTATATCTTGGATTGGGATTCTCAAAATTTTATAATGTCTTAACTTCTTCTTTTGTCTTTGCTCAATACATAATAGGGCTACATTCAGCAAGTTTATTTGGTTAATTTTTTGTTGCATCATGTTTAATAATGGAATGACCAATGCATGCGTTTCAGGAATGCTTTATTTGGTGGAGCTCGCCCACGAGAACTAGTATGTATTTTCTTCATATACTATCCTAAATGGCATTAGAATTTATTATTGTTGTGTTTTTATCCTGTTAAATCACCCCCACCCAATTTGGGTGGATTATTTTTCTTTACCTATAAATAATGTATCTTGGAATACCAACTGCTGCATGTGACATTACTTTCTTTCCTCTTCTCCATGCTTGGCTTCTTGTTTTCATTTGATAATGTTGCCAATCTTTTCCACAGGTGTTGAAGGAGCGAGGGATTGATGATGTGTCAATCAACAATTATGATGTGGTCGAGCATTCAAATAGGTAAGGACTTGTTTTGTATGTCTGTATGCTATACCATTTGACTCAACGATGATCCCATTGCCAATAATCTTGTTATGTGAAGGGTTGAAAACAATATTTTGAGGGCAGAGAAACATCATCCTGAACATTCAAGCCAGACCCGATACACTGAAAAGGCTGAGGAAGCTCCTCTCGATCAAAGGACAGGCAGAAAAGCTGAAAGGAAGGAGCAAAGGGTAGATGGTGAAAGGGTTCATGCACAGAGGAGAAATTGGCGGGGTGATACCCGGAGAACGGTGAGGGAGACTGATAGGCCACAGGCTTCTGAGAGGCAACCTTCACCTGAGACATGGCGGAAGCCTGTGGAGCAGCAGCCAAAAGCATCTCCAGGTGCTACTGGCATACGGTACGGTAGAGCAGCTTCGGCCGTTGAACTTGCACAAGCATTCTCAAGATCTGTATCAGATCCAAAAGTAAATGATAAGTTTTCAGGTCAAAGGGGGCTGAACACTGGTAGCAACAGGACTCAAGTGCCTTTTTCACGGCTTGTTGGTCCTACATCAAGGCCTCAGATCAATGGCTATTAAATCATTGGTGGATAATTGAGTGGAATTGCAGAGCACTTGATGGAGTGGCTGTACTTTTCACTATTTTCTCCCCATTCACAACAAACACGAGTGAGTGAGAAAATTATTAAAACAATTGCCAGTTACGTAGCACTAGTTATGACAATACCCATTTACAATCACCATATTTTATCTTTGTTTTTATTTATTGCCCCGTATCATTTGCCGCCAAAAAACTTTTTTTTTCCTGTCTTTGTGGTGGAGAAGGTGAAAGGGCTGTTGCCTAATGAAGACATTGTAGCATGATTAACACCATAAAATTGTTCGTTTTTGTTTCATCATGTATTTTAAGCACTTATTTTTATCAGTAAATCAATTGAATAATTGAAGTACTCGTAATGTTGGGAGTTTCAGCCTCTGTTTATGGTTCATTTATTCATCATATCACCAAAAATGAAATACAAAAACCATTGCTGCACACGATGATCTGGCTGGTTTGATCCGTTGGACAATGGATTCATATGATTCAGACGAAAATGACAGTTTCATGTGATTAAATTAGATTACATTAACCGTTTTAAATGATTAAACTAACGTTTGAAATGTTATTATGTGTCCTACAATAACTATTCGTGGTATTTTTCTGTTTACGAATTTGAATTCAATTTCGTTAACAAATATTAAACTCAGTTTCACTTAAACTAAAATCTTATGTATATTTTAAATGAATTTAAAATTTATTCATAAATATAAACGTTTATATTTTCAATTAATAAAAGAAATCTTATTACTATAATTTTTAAAATAATTCATATAAATATAAACAGAAAAAGAATTTTATTGATATAATTATATAAATTTTTTATTTTGTTTATTTCTACACACAAAAAATAAACATTAATAACTGAATATTTTTTTACACCAATAAAAAATAAACATTGAATTTCATTTATATATCAGACTTATGGTAAAACTATACTATACCTGTTAAGAGAGAAAGATATTAGTATGATAAAATATATTATTTATATCATTAATAAATTTTCTTAACTAACTTTTTATGTTTAAATTTATTCATGAACAGTTATAAAAATACAATTATTTTTTTATTTAGGAAATTTAGAAAAATAAATAGCTTGCTTATAAATATCATTTAAATTTTTAATCTTTCATTAATGTAATTTTAAATGTTTTATTAAATTTCATAATAATTAGTAAAACTATAGATTATTTTCTATTCCGTGTAAACTTTAATTACAAATATTTTAAGCTAAAACAATAGTCATTTTTCTTGTTCAGTAATTAGTTAACAAATCACAAGACTACTTGAGTTTTTCTGTGATGAATTAATAGAGTTAAAAGTGTATGTATTATATATTCTATTTTTTTATAAATTATTTTAAAAATAGTTGGAATGATTTTTTATTATTGAAAGTATTAAACTCTTATATATATATATATATATATATATATATATATATATTTAAATATTAAACTCAAGTAAGTTTAACAAATATATCCTGCAATAATAAACATATAAGTAAAGAGTGTTACATTAGAATGAGGTTGGTTTTTTGAACATGTGTTATCTATATGTTGTGTTGTATAATTAAAGTTTTATGATTTGTCACATCAAACAAATATAATCAAAATATGATAGACTTTTAGATATTTTTTATTTTGAAAAAATTAATGATTTTATAAGCACAAATATAAGACAAATGAATATTTCACTGTATTTCCTATTTCCCTTACCTCTTAATCATTTGTACCACCATCAAGGTATATGATAAAACACATTAGAATGCATTGATCTTTCATCCCATAACATCTTTTACCACCATTTATGAACCCCTTTTGTAGGTATCAGAATCTTAGTTGAGAAAATTACAAACTCAAATATTCAAAAATAGAAATAAAATCTTATTTTTGAATGATTTTCAAAGCTTTGATGTAGTACTTGAAATCAAGAAATTTCATTTACAACATCATCCAGAGTGTTTAAAGAATTCTGAAAATGTTCTCATTTTAATTGATTGAAAAATAAATTCGAAAATTTATGGTTGAAAAGGATTTAAATAGATTAAAATTAAAAAAAATGTGAATAGATGAGAAGTATGAAATGATTTTAATTTTTGTAATTGATTAGAACTTTAACTATTAAGATTTTGTTCTTCCATTTTTTAGCATTTGAAGCAGAGTTCAATGGATTAAACTTTTGTTCTATTAAAACATAGAAAATCCACTTGATATTCTCCAAAGCTAGTTTTGAATGGTTCCAATACTCAAACTTGGTAAAATCAAAGGATATATAATTATTTACACCAAATTACAACTATAAACACACGATTAACACAATCAAAATGTTATAACCGTTAATGGAAAACTTTAAATCTTTTATCTTCAAGCTTTGAAGTCATTCATTCATCAATCTATAATAAAGGAATTTTCTCTACAATAAAAAAAATACCTGTGCAACACTATAGAGATTGTGATGTAGAGTTTTTTCTCTTATGATTGTTTGATAAGTATTATATTTCTCCATCCATATATATATTGAACATGGTATCAAACCTTCTTTGCATTTATTTGTTTATCTTTTTTGTAACATTATTTGATAGTATAAATCAAGATCTTCTTTCACTCTTTATTATTTTGTACTTTATATTAACTTAATATGCATGTATGTGTATATATTTACTTATTTTATAATATTTCAGTTTATTACTTTATATATATATATATATTTTTTTTTATGTTCTAAGAGTATCATTTCAATCAAACAAATTTAAGTGTTAAAATGAACTAATTAGTTAGTATTTTATTTAAAAATTGACAAATAATAAAAATTTAATTTTTTATAGAAATAAAAATATCTTAAATACCAACAAAACATATTTGTATGAACCGAAATTTCCCTCAAGGGATTTAAAATAAAAAGGGCTATAGTATGTAAATAGAAAAAAAGGAGGTGTGAAAATAACACGTGTGAACATTTTGAATTGATCCATCAAATGTGTTTTAACTCTTCATAATTAAGAGAAAGGAAAAGGCAAGCAGTTGCGACGACGACGAACTTTTTAACATTGACACAATTGGAGCAACTTGGCTTGAACTCGTTCTGCAATCCATCGTCGCTTTTCTTCTCTACTTTTTCATCGTAAGTGTCTCACTGTGACAAAACACGATTTTCAATTTTACCTTTCTTTTTTCATTTCGGAGCAATTCGATCTTAAGAAGACTGCAAGAGGAGCAACATGTTGGAGAAGATCGGGTTGCCACCAAAGCCTTCTCTGCGAGGGAATAATTGGGTGGTCGACGCCTCACACTGCCAGGGATGTTCCTCTCAGTTCTCCTTCATCAATCGCAAGGTTAATTTCGATTATCATTTTTCATTTTCGATTTTTCTTCTTTTTTTAGGGGTGCGGGGGGAGGGGGCGAACGGGTTTGCTGGAGGGTAAATGCATAAACCTTTTGCAATTAGCGAGAAAACCCATGATTTATATTCACTTTAGAATGTTGGATTTTATGTGGGTATTTCAGGGAATCTTAAAGTCGTTAAATTTTCGCTCGTTTATTATTCATGAATGATTATAACTTTGTGGCTGATGTCGTTTTTCGTTATGCTAGTTGTTATTTGGCTTCACTATGTGGATTTTGTGTGTGTTTATGCTTGAATTGTGCAAATTGTTAATTTCGTTTTGATTTTCTGTATTCATTTATGAAACTTGATTAAAATCCAGCATGTCTGAGAGAGGATAACTTGCCTAAGAGAGAATAACATACCGTGTTTGAAGCTTCCCCAGTTTAATCCTTTCAAAAGACTGTAGTTCGAAGTTTCATGGAATCCTTGTTTAAAATAAATGAATAAAATGCTAGTCGATTTCATTTCATCATTTTATGCGAAACATATGATGATCTTCCATGTTTGCTTATGAATCTGGTCGACCTCAAACTGAATTTTTCGTCCAAAATTTATTTATTTATATTTTTGCAATTTTCTTTTATGGTTCAGCATCACTGTAGGAGGTGTGGGGGGATCTTTTGCGGCAGTTGTACTCAACAAAGAATGGTTTTACGTGGACAAGGTGATTCACCTGTGCGTATTTGTGAACCTTGTAAGAAGCTAGAAGAGGCAGCACGGTTAGAGTTGCGACATGGACGTAGACCTGGGAGAGGTATTATATTTGTTTTTCCTCATATGGCTTTCAAGCTATGCTATGTTACATTAAAGTAAACCTCCTTTATTTTACGTTAATTATCACTACACAGTTCCATACTTTTGAATATACATTTCAATTTATCCAGGGAGCTTGAAATCAGCACCTAATGATGAAGATGAAGTTTTGAACCAGATTCTTGGTCAAACCAGCGACAAAGTTGCTAGCAGACAAAAAGTAGTCGGAGTTGCATCTTCTTCAAGTACTTCCAATTATGATGGACAGATACCAAACATTGTCTCAAATGATAAGCATAATCTTTTGGGTATTGATTTGGAATCCACCACTCCTGATGAGTTACGTAAGCAAGCTTTGGAAGAAAAAAAGCAGCATAGAATTCTTAAAGGTGAGGGGAAATCTGGAGAGGCGATGAGAGCTTTTAAGAGAGGGAAGGAGCTTGAGAGGCAGGCCGATGCTTTGGAAATTCATTTAAGGAAGACTCGGAAGAAGAGTTTGCCTTCTGGAAACTTGTCTGACTTACATAACAAAGGAAATCCTGTAGAGTCGGACAGAAAAACAAAGTCACATTCTCATGTTGGCAGAGAAAAGGATGATCTTTCTTCTGAACTTAGAGAACTGGGTTGGTCTGATATGGATCTACATAATGAAGACAAAAAGTCATCAAACTTGAGTTTGGAGGGTGAACTCTCATCAATAATTGGAGAAATCTATACAAAAACTGGTGAACAAAAGGTTAGCAAGATTGACAAGTCCCCAGTTGTTGCTCTGAAAAAAAATGCTCTACTGCTGAAACGCGAGGGTAAACTTGCAGAGGCCAAAGAGGAATTAAAAAGAGCAAAA